TTCCTCATGCTTCACATATATACCCATTATTTTTATTATAATTCTTTTGGATTCTGAATAAGACACAGAGCTTCAACGGAACATCTTCATTTCAAGCTGCTCTCTGCAGTCCTCTTTATCTCTAACCCATGATTGTCCATACACTGTCCTTTATTCACACGGTTTCCTCCATGCTACCCCTATATCCAGAAACTTACCGTTTCCCATTCGATGGCCTGGCTTGTGGAGTCACTCAGCAGTCCTCTCAGGGTGTGTCCAATCCATCTCTGTTTTCCTTAGCATCTTTTTTGGGCAGTAGGTTATTGGTTAGTTCATTCTCACACCCTTTTTGGCTGTGTGTTCTTCAGTATCGAGAAAGGGCAGTAACTCTCCAATTTTACTTATTCACTTGTTTTCTAACTGGTACTAAGCTCAGAAAAAGAGGGAAGACCCTATCCTGGAGAGTCAACTCAGTTGCTAAAGTAGCTTCAAAGTAAAGCAAAAATATAACCAGTGGCAGTGGATAAATTGCTCCTCTATTATTAACTTAATGTTTATCTTTATATTTTTACGTCCATTCTGCATTAAAAGTTCGTATCTTTCGGCAATATCTTTTGTTATTAGGGTAAACTATCTTTGTTTAAACCGAGTTTCTTTAAGACTTAAAAGAAGTTATTTTTAAGTCGTACCTTTTCACCAACCCATCATGATCTTTTTCTTGTGGAACACTGCTACAAAGATGCCTTCTTTTCTACTATTGTAGCATACTCAAGAGAACAAGGTGGGTAGTTGAACAACATTAACACTGCACAAAAATTCCATTAGTTAACCTCATTACCCAGTATTCTGGTGAAAAGACTGAAATAACTGTAGTGGTATATCGATCTTGTATTTTTTTTACCGGCAATCTAAGGCGCCAACTTCGTTATGTTGCTTTGATGTAAATCTGAAATTTTTTTCGATGAATGACAATTGAAATTTATGTATGAAGTTTACTCGGGGTATTTTGTAACATAAATTAAGAAATATTTGCCTTTTGTCATTTGCATTTCACAAATTGTTCAAGAAATCATCTAGGCTGATTAATAAGAGTCATTTAAAGTCAGTTATCAAACTCTGAATGTCTGTATCTTTGACAAAGGTGTAGTCAGATACCATGGAAGCCCAAGACAGAAAGTGACAGGATACTGTTCTATGGCTTGATCTGATTTTAACTTTTTTCATAATAGGAAGATTGTCTTGCAAACATCTGTGTTATACAGATGGTTTCAAATGTATTACGACGTTTTATGTAAATAAGAATAAAAGATACTTTGGGAAACGAGCTCTGAATTACTTTAGTCGAATAGCAAAGAAGATCCATAATGGTAGTTGTTTAAGTGCTTCAGCATATAGAAGCATAGGTTTTATTTTGGTTTACACTAGCCAGGTTACTCTGCGTTAAGATATATCGACAGCACAATGAGCTTAGGTGCTCGACTGCTGAGCATATGATGTGGTTGTCTGTTTGACCGTTACAAAGTGGTTTGCTGAGTGAATGAAACAGGTGTGAATACAACTAAGGCAAATGACGCGAAGAATATGAGGACAAATTACTTAGTGGTGTATCCCCCGATTATCAAATTAAGAATTACCATTAAATATTATCAGTTAATTGTACTGAGGGAGAATTTCTTCAAGAAATATTTCAGGAACTTTAGCTTTATTAGCTGTAGGCTATTTATTGGTCACTAACAAATCGTCAGTGCAAACTTTTATGAGTTAAGTAGGTGTTCATTTCTGTTGTTGAACTACTCGGTGGTATACTACTACACATGGAGTAACAACTAAACCGTTATTTGAGAGCTTCATGAATAAACGCTTCGCCAAAAAGAATGAAAAACGTAAACTACTGAAATCTGACTAAGTGGTTGAACTGAAAAATACTGTCAGCTAAATATCTTAACAGTACAAGAGTCGCAGGCGCATGGCGCTTGGTAAGTTCCTGACTATCTGGTTTTAATCTAAAATACAGTGAAGTTAGTTATGAATTGAAGGGTTGGTGGTTGTTGATGATAAATTAGTATTGTAATCAGTGTTATTTTTACACTGTGTCACTATATTTTATGAAATAAAATTATCCTGTTAGGTTTTTTCAGTAACTTTCAAATTGAACCCTAATTTGCAAAGACTGTAATTTGATGAGACTGACAATGTTAACAAACTTGAGTGGGAACCTTATCGAGTTCAATATCAGTAGTCCGCCTGCTTCTGTATAGCTGGAATTCTGCAAGCTCATCTGATCTACTGTAGAAAACTGTACTATCAACGCCTTATACCTACAATAGTTTTAAAAGTGCTTATGAAGGAATGTGTGATAGGATGAGCCGTATAAGAAGAAAAAGAACATACAAAGGAGGCAGAACTTATCAATAAAACGTGGTAACGTCTGAGCTTTTATGCATGTATAATGACGGAATAACAGTCTTCAGTAACTATTTCTGGATTTAAAAAAGTCCAAAATACTTTTCTTCTCCTGTAGTAGTAACATTTTAATCTAAATACTGTGAAGCTTTTCGAAGTAACGTACTATTTAGAAAGAGATCAGGAAAAAATGTGATGTAGACTACTCGAATAATATGCACAGACATCTTCAATATTTATGCTTCATATAAATTTAAAGAAATGGGAAAAGCTAATTAATTTTACGATGTTTTTACTGACTGATATTCTGAATGAGTAAGCTCATGAACTAGTGTGAACATAAATATAACTAATATAATTACTTTAAAAAGAGGAGTTAATTAATGTCGTCAGCTGATATCGGAAGGGGTTTAGGATGTGTGTGTTCTTCAGCATTAGCAATAATGCTTCACATCTTTGTAACTGTGCTAAAACTATTATGTATACATACTGATGGTATTTCTTCTCTTTTATTTTTTGGATATCAAGTAAGTGAATGTTGCCGATCAAATACCAGTCAGTAAAGCTTGCAGTATGTACATCAAGCTGGGTTAATCAGCATTGTTGTGAACTTCGAGTTGATGCTGAATTTTCGGAAGGATAGCGAACAGTAAACACAATGGAAACCAGACTGATTGAATAGCTTAGTGGTAACATGTTTGATTGCAGCACGGCAGGGCAAGGTTTTGTATCCTCAAGAGAACTTCAGGTCGCTTGAAGTTGCAGATATGCCTGGTTAACAAGTGCCAGTAAGTACGAAACTTAACTAAAGTGTTTTCTGCATTATTATAGAGGCATTTAAACAGGTACGTCTATCAACAAACAGGATTTCTTTCTTTCTAATTGCACTGAATCACCTTGAAAGACTTTAATGAATACAAATGAAATAAGTAATTTAAATATTCCCATTATGATAAACACGGAGCATAATTTAAGCAAGCACTTATCAGGCTTTATAGTTATGTGACAGAGTATTAATCATAGATATCTGAAGCGATTTCGATCAGTATAATTGTACATATTCAAGCAGAATGTGAATATAAGTAGAAGTAGATGGAAAAATAACTATTGTCATATAGCAATCGCATGATGTAAATAAACATTAATAATAAATTGTGAAGCTAAGATTAAAATATGCAACAATAGCACAACATATTGTTAATAAAGTGAGCAACATAAGTAAAAATAAAAACAATATTTACAGTCATTCAGTATCACCGTGGAAGATAACCATTCTAAGTTGGGGCCATAGGAGTATGGATTTAAAACTGATTAAGAAATAAGTGTAGCAGACGTCAATAAAGCGGTGATTGTATTTTTCTTATTTAATTTAAGCATGTTATATAATAAAAAGATGCTGAGAATGTAACTTATTACTGATAATCCTACGAAATATTACTCCCCAATGCTGACACCACATATTCAGAGTTGTAGCACTTTATGAGTTTTAGATTTTCCGGATATCTAGGACAGGCGCTGAGTCATTCCTATCTCATAGATCCTCAAGTGATTCAAAGAAAGAAGCTTTGAGTGCCGATATAACGATGCAACTTAGACGCTGTGGCAGGATATAACTACATTATGGATAAAATTTTATTCTGATAAAGTCACACAGTGTTATATAGTAATATTTACTGATAACGTTTTGAGCACAATTTATTGCTAATAATCGCATCAAGATGCCCACACAATATATATGATTATGAGCAATAAATTGTGCTCAAAACGTTATCACTATATATTACTGTATAACACTGTGTGACTTTATCAAAATAAAATTTTATCAATAATGAAGTCTCCAGTATTACTCTATCCTTTCAGCTACGCTTAAGCTACGAGTGGCACTTTGTCTCTTCTTAGTACACGCTTATTTGTGGCTCTTTGTGATGTGACAGCTGTGCGTCGGTGGCACAGTGGTTAGGACTCTCGCCGACCATGCACATGGTCCGAGGTTCGATCCCCTGCCAATGCATACCTGATATATATGGTTGGTCTGAGAAATTTGGGCTACCGATATCCATGCTGAAAATTCCATACTTGTACCGAAAAACAGTGTGTAATTAAGCTGTAATCAGAAATTAAATTTTAAAAAATTAAATTAATTAAAACTAAAAAAAATTAGACCTTAAGATTGTTGTTTTTCTCATATTTTAATCTTATCTCTTATTTCATAGGATTCCCCCAGTTTGATGTATGCAGTAGACGACCTTATCAAATTCGCAGGAAGCGTTACAGTTGAGATTCTGCAAGACAATATTTTAGCTTGGATTGTCATGTAGAGTATATATATATTCGCTTTCAAAATGACTAACTAACTAAATTACCAGACCATTTATTAACTGCTAATAACTACTATCCACACAAACTGATGACACAGACCATTCAGTCGCAGTATTAAATGAAAATTATAGAATTATAAAATAGACTGAAGAATAGAAAGCAGAGATTTTCTCATTCATATCTATATTGTAAGAGAATAGAATGAAGGAAATAAATCGCAGTACTATAATATGATGAGCAGGTAAATACTTGTTTTCTTTCGTTTTTAGTTAGACATTCAAGGCGCATAACTGACTTTTAAAATTATAAATAAATTTGTTTTAAATAAATTAGCCTACATTATGTACCAATCGAATCTGTCTAAGTGTATGTAAGTATGTTTGCACAATAATGTAGCATTTCTGTGTGAAAAACACAAAGAAATAAATTTTCTTTTGTCGCTTTTCGAAATCAAAAGATGCATGAATGTAGATGATGATGCTGGCAAAATTGCTCTCAATCAATAAAAACTGAAGTGGTCATACTTCCTAGACAGTGTCAGTTTCCTGCCTTATTCTAATTCCCTATAACGTGAATATAACAAAAGTAAGTTAACTGATGTGATCAATAACTGCATAGTCTTAAATTTATTCAATATAACTTGATCTACTCCAGGGTTGAGTGATTCTTTTTCTACAACTCACAATGGTAATGTCAAAAAATAATGTGTTTTTTCTTTTTGTTAATGAAAACCATCTATGGAGATATTTGATTGCAATAAGTTTAATGCGGAGAAAAATACTCATATCTAGGCATTCATACGCAATGAACAACAGAGAACTCTTGCATAGGTACATTTAGCACAGTACTATATCGGCACACCGAACACAAAGTGGTAGTAGTGTGAAAGAAGCATAAAATTCTTATTTGTCTACAGCCTAATTATTTTCAAAGGCTAGAGAGTTTTAGTTTCTTATAGTATGAGAAACACCTTGATTATTGTCGTTGAAGACTGTTCACGCTGTTACCTTCAATATAACTCCCTAATATTGTTAATAGGATCACTGACTTATAGGACATGCGTTAACTATTTAACTACAGCTCAAAAAGAGATTTATGTTATCTTAATAATGTTATTATTATCTGAATTATAAACACAGTAGGTGAATCCTCAAAATTCGGTTGCCTGAATGCATTTGTATTTTATTTCATGTCACACATTTAGCATGCTATTCCTCACAGTTTTCGTTTGATCACGATTGTTTCTAACAGTTCAGAATAATAGTTTTTCCTTCACGCTCCCCACTGGAACTTAGGGTTTCAAGCTAGTGGCTTGAAGTTTCTGTAGCAGTGTTCAATTTTACAGAATGGGGTTGCTAGCCCCATACCCAACCTTTCCTCTTTACCAGGATTACTTCTGGCTTAGCGAGGTAAATGAGTACGTCGGCCGGGGATCAAACGCCGGACCATGTGCATGGTCGGCGAGCGTCCTAACCGCTATGCCACCGACGCGTTCGGAGTAATAGAATAATAATAATATAATGATCTTATTTAATACAATAAACAATGAAACGGGATAATTTATTTACTCATGTGTGACGTTACCATGTATTACTGTAAGTTACAATAAACGGAATTATTCTCTTATGAAATTGCACTCTACCAAAGTACCAAAATTTTATTCTTGTATAAATAAAATACTAATGTAGCCTGATATTAAGAGTTTTCCAGACAATGGTACGAAATTCTTTATTTCTAGGTAAACTGGTACTATATGCATAATGACTTCTACGAAGTCTTCACCTTCAACACCGGCCTAACCCACTATTTTGACTATACACATTAAAATGCAATAAATTCCACTCTGCTCATTATTTTTACCACCGTGATATGCAATGTGATTAGTTTTCATAAGCATTAAGGTACAACTTAAACAACAAGGGGGTGAGACAGGCATATTTCGTGAGTTCACTGCTGATGGATTTTCATATGAAACACATATATAACACAGATCATTTGTCTCTTATTCTCTTCAATGCGTAGTTATGCATCCAGTTTCTCTGCATTGTATTCATATTATGCGGTGATAGTTTCCTGAAAATCACAAGATGCTCTCTTCTGTGAAAAATACACACTAACGACTGTCTTGACGTTGTGTGAACTTATCAAATCTGCATAAATCAGCTGTAATTTTTAAAAAGGGTGTGTGTGAAATCCAGGCAAGTATGAAAAGTGGGAAATTAGGATAACAATTTAAAAGTTAGACTTATCATCTTAAATCTGATCTCCATACATATCGCTGTTGCTGACTGATTTAAAAAAAAACTCAGTTTTGATCTCATAAATTTGCATACAGCTCCCAGTACATCATTTCACTTGCTATAGAAGACAGTTCAAATTAGACAGGTTTCGGAACTTGATCACTCTCATGTGTGATAATGAATAAACTAAATTGCTGAATGAACTACATCACAGAAACACAAACAAAGGCAACTGCTGGAGCTATAAAACACTTTCAGATAAGTTCATCTTTTGTAGGGGTAGAATTTTTATCATATTTTCGATAAAGGACATCAAAATTAAGATAAGTTACTTAAATTTTTAAAAATATTAATCTAAACAAGTAAAGTATGTTTCAACTATAATAATCATGGATATATTTCTCACTATCTTCGAGGTCCGAATGTTTTAACTGGTTTTTGTTTTTAAGAAAGACATGATTTGTTTATTTCTCCAAATCATATTTCATAAGAAGTGGAAGTGCTGATGAAAGTCAGATAATACCATAATGGTGCGAAAAGCCTAAACCCTGTGGGACAACATATAAAACATGTGGGTATTTTCTTATTAAAAGAAGACGAATGAACTCTATTGTTATTTAAAGATGCTCTTGCTGCAGAACAATGTGTGCTAGGCTAATAAATACTGTAGAATTCAGTCAGTTAAGTCAAATGATACAGACAAAAGCATAACATTGCAATTCTATGGCCATGAGGAATTCATTTTGTCTGAAGGCTTGTATATAAAATATACAGTTACTACTGTTTGTGATAAAATCAAGTTCCTAATACAGTTTTTTGTATTATGTTAAGTGAACACTATTTATCAGTTTTATGAGGTTAAATTCATCTTTTTTATTTTAGAGAGGAAGAATGGATTGGTTTACGGATGCCGAATACAACCATTCAAATGCTCAGTCAACACTTCCTAATGAAAACGATACTGTGTACCATGACTTTCATAAAAAGAACCCTGGCCTTTTTTTACCTTATCCTTTACAAAACAAGAATCAGTCTAATACGGAATTATGCTCACTGTCTTCCAGTGTTATTCAGCTCGGATGTCAAGCTGAGGATGAGACTTTAATAAATCAGGATTATAAAGCGAACCCTGAAACTTCTCCAGCATTAGTCATCAGTGACGTCAACGATCAGTTATACTGCATTAAAGATTATTCTCACTGCTATTCTTCAGAATCATTATTCCTACAGAATACAAAGACATCACAGTCCTTTGAGGGATCACATATGCCAGTGGCATACGACTCAAGTGGAGCTTGCTATTTTTCCAGCAACAGTGCTGATAACAAGAGGCGAAGGATTCAGATAAACTGTACACAGAAATCTTCAATCAGTTCATTCACGCACTCTCAATACAATACTATGCCTATCAGTTACGATGAGTATTTCATTTCAAGTAGTCGCTTCCACCATCAAGCTGACAGTAAATTGCAGAAACCTGAGACTATCTATCAACAACCACCGATTTTCGACTATTCCGCTTCTGTGGGATATCAAGAAGCGGTTATTGACTCTAATTCAAAGAGGAAAAATGACGTGTTGGTGGGAGCGCACACTTTAATATGTCGATGGAAATCGTGTTATCTAGTGAGCACCTATGTTTTTCTGTAACCCTGATCTATTTTCCCAGCTGACCAATCACCTACTCTTTTTGTTGCTACAATGCTTTTTTCATTCTTTGTATCCCCTGTGGAACTCAAGCTTCAGCAACAGTGGTGTTATTTCTGTGGGTGAAGTTATCAGCCTTAAGGCCCCAATCTATCTGCTAGTAAACTATACAAGGTTTGGGAGTGCTTCGGCCATGAAGCAAACCAAAGCCCCCTTATTTGGTTGGCAACCAATTCACCAGTGAATCAGTAAGGCCACGCTGTTCATGAGAATACGTTAAACTGAAAGTAAAAGTAAATTGTTTATTCGCATTATTCTTATTGTTATTCTCTTAGGTTCCGAGTGGAACGTTGGAAATCAGCAACACATCTTTATTTTATTCCGTTCTATACAGTCCTCTTAAGATCGCTCTGCGACTGTCCATAAACTCTCATCTCCGCCTCACACGGTTTTCTACACATAACTCTAGGATTCTCAATTCGTCATTTTCCATTCAGGCGATTTCACTCAACGGTCTCTTCAGTGTGTATCTCATCCATCGCCATTTTATTCTGCATTCTGGTCTCTTATTTTCACGACTAAAACACATTACTATTCACGATGATGATGTTTCTTAGATGATTAGAGACAAAACTAAAACTTCTGCTGCACATTTGCATTTCTGTAGATATTTTACTTACAGTAGGATATTTGTTGACACTGGATTATCTTACCCATAGGGATTTGATAATCACACACTATTCATGCCATTGATTTATGATATATTATTGTAAATTTCCTATTTAAACTTCACACTTTATATATCAGGTTGGGCCGCAGATGACAAAAATTGCCAGTGTCCAATACAGCCGGAAGTTTATCACTCCATAATGACTAACACATATTGTTGCAAGACAAATGAACACAAATTGAGTTACTAGAGATTTGCAATTTGTTAGTGAGACTGTGAAGAAATTACTACTGGTATTTCAAGGGTACCCACGAAATTTCATTATGTTAAATCAGTGTGATTAGTTAGGATGAGACAGGATTTTTCCTTTCGCCAAAACATGAATACACTCCACTTCTGTAACCCGAAATAATTTAACATTTGTAAAAGCTGGATAAATCGAACAATACTTCACTTTAAACTCTAAAGGATGACTTCTTAAGGCTGGATGCAGCTGTTCTCTTACAAAATTCCAGTGAATTTTTTTAATAAGCGAAAATTAATTCAATCAGATGTAGCAGTTTTGTTCAGTTCATCACAAATCTTGAAAGGCAGCAGATTATCACAATTCAAAAGTTAGATTACTATTCTAGTAAGGATGACAATTAAGCGGAAACATATAATTGACGAAACTGAACTGTTGCATGCACTGTTGCTGAAATGTCTGCTATGTTAACAGAATTAAACGAATGAACTGGACAAGAAGCCACATATGTGTACACATAATTATGAATCTAAGTGGTTCCTGACAATATAAATTACTTCCTGAAGATGTTTACTTTTACGATAAGAGTGGACTCACATATGTACATGCAGATTGTGTTCATAGGTTGTTTGGCTAGTTTTGGCTATAAGTAGTGTCCAGACCGAGCATTTCAAATTATTAGAGATATGTTAGTTATATGCACCTCCATCTTAGCGAGATATTTTCTTCGCAAAGACTAAAATCGGCATACCATATCTTGAAAACAAAAACATTTTTGACTAGGTAAGTGGGCCACGATGGATTCCTCTTGGGCATCCAGCATTCGTCATTATATATTCAAATTATTATTTTGAATTTTCTGTTTATCACTCTTAACAGGTATTTAGCTCATTCACATATGAACTTGACTAATTGAAAAAGAAACTTGGTTTAATAAAATCACACTTAGTGTCTGCCTTTGAAGATAAATGCAAATAAATTAATTACCGCTATTAATCGTATCTGAAGTTCCTCAATATATCTGTTTGTTTGGTGCAATATACTATTCTGGAATTTCACCTTTAATTACTTGATGTGCACATTAGTATTAGAGGAAACTTGACAATAATCCATGAAACCAAAGAATATTGATCTGTGCGACGTAAGAAATGTGGGTTGATTGACTTCAGTCATTCACCTAGGCAAACAAAAATTGAATTTCTTAATTTATTTTTGGTTATTTCCGTACCCACTGATAAACACGCGTCTAAAATCCCTCTTTACTTTTTATCCCTATTTGTTCATATGAAGTCTGTAATTATACCTTAGAAAAATCGTTTCCATCATTGTCATTCATGGTTATTTACTTTGACCTCAGACTTTTAAGTTAGTGGTATATTTTCATAGATTATCACATACACATGTTTGAATATTAGTTTATAGAAATTTGATCGATTTCAGGTTATTTCAGGCACTGACAGAAGTTAGAGAACCACTGAAAACCAGATAGTGCTAAGAACATGACTGGATGTATAATCTACTGTCAATTTCACTCGCATACACCTCTCTGATTTCTTTGATCTGAATGATTTTATTTTATCAACGTCACATTAATACTGTCTGTATGGACAGTATATCTGAAGAAGTTATCAGAAACACTGGTAATTGCTGAATCGCTCCGGATGACTGAATTTGGATGAGTTCAACAACGAAGGGAAACCGCCAACAACTGGAATCATCATTGGCAATAAGCAATCAAATGACAGATTCCTACACTATCTGCTTAATAGGAATTAAACTGAATAATTTATTAAACACCTTATGAACCATTTTACACTGATCAGTAGGATTGTGGAGAGTAATACTCATAGAACATTGTGTAACGTCTTCAACGAGAGTCTTGATTAGGTGAGCAATGAATTGGGTTGGGAAGGGAACAAATGAAAATCCTTGTAAGACAGTACAGAAAGCATGGACTGAAGATGAAAGAATCGAACAGAAATTTCAATCCAAGGTTTTAGTATTGTGCCATAACCCCACATCAATTTGCCATGCTGAAAATTCCATACCTGTGCCAAAAATACGGTGTGGAATCAAGCTGTAATCGAAAATAAATAAAATAAAATAAATAGACAGTTCTTTTACTAAACATTAGTGTCCAGCCACCACAGTTTAAACAGTCTGTTGATTTCAATGGGCTGACATATATTAGTCAGTTATGTGTATCATATCCAAGAAATTTATAGCACTCGTCTAGAGAATGTTCTCTGTTTTGAACAATTATGTCGTTTCATTAAATTAACGGAAAAATGATGCTTATTATTAATTTGTTTCTTCCGATGATTGTTTCTTCTGTGTGCAGGCTTTTACAGATCATAAATCTTTTGTAAACCACATTGAAACATCACATGTCGCTTCTCATATATCTAGCAAAGAATACTGTTGTTATTGGGAAGGCTGTCGACGTCAGCTAAAACCATTTAACGCCAGATATAAGTTAATTGTTCATCTGCGTATTCATAATGGTGATCGACCGAGTAAATGCTTAGTAAGTTAATGTTAATTAAATTTGAGTGTTTCCTAATGATAGTTGGTTGACTGATTTATATTGCCTGTCTACTGGTGAACTTCCTTATACCTCCATAAATACTTATTTCATTCTGATTTTCAAGCATTTAACGACTGATTGTGTTGGATAGATTTGTAGATTAATTACATTTCACTTTCCCTGAATAATTTTGAAGAATTCCATAGCAGTTTTCAAACAATATGTAGAGTTAGAAAATACTGTCCTTAGTATCCTCAAATTTTTCTGAGAAGGACGTTCCTCCCCCTTACATTTTCATTCATATTTGTCTTTAAATTTGAGTCATTTTAAAAATCACCTAATGACCGTTTTCCCAATTAAATCACCTACACATATGCCACTAAATTAGTAGATACAATACTAAAACGCACGCCACTGAGCATGTATATATATATATATATATATATTGTAAAAAAAGAAGTATGTTGGAATAACTTCCTTATTGGGCAGGGTAATCCAAATTACAGAACAGCTAAAGTACCAAGGAATCGACAGTCTAGTATGTAAATCTTTCTTTAGAGCAAAGGGGCACAAATCATATCCTCAGTAGTTTTGTGATGTTCTATCATATTGGAAGTAAGAGACTTATAATAAAAAAGTATTAGTTACTACAAATTTACTGACTTCCATATCAACGCAACGCAATACATTTGAGCATTCCACGCAATCTGTTTGAGCTCAGGTTAGTAATTTAGGTCAAGCCAATTATTCACGTTTCCTTCAACCACTCCATTTACGAGCATATTCGTAGCTGGTGTTGATTTCACTAATGATGCACTTCAAGTTGAACTATTTTGCAATTTTCTTTTATCAATTCATTCACACTGAAGCAAATAAGCTAAAAAAAAAGCTGACAATCAATGCAACAACCTATTCAAAGGTAGATTTCTTTATATAATGACCAGTAAAAGTCAGAAATTACCATCCAGTTATTTCGTTTAGTGCCCACATATGGTCTTGCCAGAAAATCGGGACGACAGTCACCATTGTGCATTTATTTCACTATCAATAGTTCTGACTAATGAACTGAATTTAAAGAACAAAAGAAATTCAATTTTTTGGATCATCTTTTTGACTTGAAATTTCCAAAATATGAAAAAATGAGCAGCACATGAACCTGAGTATGCTTATCTCAAACACGAATCTGTTTAAGAGTTACTCGTGTTTTTGTCCTGCATATTTACTTATATAAATGATTAGACGTTAGTATCAATGAGTGCTAATGACAATAGGATTGAGGTATGATAAAGAAAGACAATTATAGATGAGGTGTTATTGCAATAAAACAAACGATTCAGGAAGCATTTATTATCAGGAACAGCACTGTAACAGAGCAGATATGGCATTCCGTAAGAAATAGGGAGCAGTATTGTTTCTTTATCTATCTTATCACTGATTTAACATCAATGGACCAAGACCACGAAAGGAGTAGTGGCTGTACAAGTTTCTCGTGTATGCAAAGTTCTGGCCTTTGAATTTCACTTCTTTTAGACTCATAAACACTATCAGCTTAATACGTTTTGAATTCATTTTTCTTAAACAGAATTTTCTCAGATACGAAAAGAAAACACACGTAGTAGGTTTTAGGGGCACATTTATGTTAATGAAATGAGGAAGATATCCATTTTCATCAAAGACTCTCTTTAAAAGACGCTGCTTCCGTGGCATTAGCATGAAACATACGCTGGAAGTGAGTAGCAGGTAATCTTAACAATCCATTTAAGAAGTAAAAACATTGAACAGATTCATGAAGAAGTTTGTATACAACTGCTATCATATAACAATGGTGTCTGTTTCTCCCTTTGATAATTCGTGTGTTTTGTTTTTCTGTATGTCATAAGGCGGATTATAAATGGTTTGTATTACTCAGCTATTTTCAATATTCATTTGTCGATTTCTCCAACTTAAGTAATTTTGTTTATAAATTCTAAGTATCCTGATTGCTGTAAAGCATTTTCACGTTTGGAGAATTTGAAAATCCACATGCGATCGCACACTGGTGAAAGGCCATTCATCTGTCAACAAGACGGCTGTAATCGCGCGTTTTCAAACAGTTCCGACAGAGCCAAACACCAACGTACGCATATACATACTGTAAGTTGTAAACAACTGGCCTATTTGAAAGCAATCATTATTTAAATTATGCGTAAGCTGTTCTGAGTTGAAGGCAAGTTGAAGAGTAAATTGCGAATTTATAGGTACTCTTAACCGAATTGTCAAAATGTTTATCTATTTTGAGGTGAATCACTTTAAACACCCTGTTTACATTCTGGCGTTTAAACAGTTGAAACCGTGTGCTTAGATTACATTTTCTAGAGAGATGAAATTTTTCACTCGTACTTCTAGCTCCCAGATACTTGTACCTTTCTCTAACTCATATAACAACCAACATACTATTTTCAAAACCCAACCAAGAAATGATGTATGCGTAACTTGCGGATAGGATAAAAAGTGGTTAATGTGAGAGATAAATAAATATTTTTAACAATACGTGCATGCAGCATGATGCAGTATCTCTCTTGTCTGTATGATGATCACTCGGTCTGGATGCTAAAGCACATGGAAAATAGATATAAAGCAAATCCATTTTGTACCGCTATTTTCATGTACCAAATCAAGCAGTAAAGTTATGTGTATTCAATTTTTCCAGTTTTTCTCGTTAATACAAGAAAAGAATTAGGTACGTTACTAAAAAATCATGTGATTTAAGTAAGTCGGTATATATGACTTCAAAAGATCATAAGTTTATAAATGCACTCAATTTTACTCACTGACGCGACATAAATGAGTTCTATGGCTCCATATTTCACACAGCAGAATTAATACACAGTCAGAGAAGAAAGAGAGACTTTAGGTGAAATGAAGTGTTGATAGACAATTGAAAGGCGCACAACAAAAATCAAAGTGAAAATTGTCTCTTAGCCTTCTTTTATCAAAACGTGAATTAACTTGAATACTTTAGGCATAAGTAAGCGCAAAAGGAGAGAATAAAGTAAAACATACTTTGGACAACGGAAACAGAAAACACGGGGCAGAAATCAAAATCTTTATGTGGATATTTGCTGAAGTACTCTTGAAGGACGTACTTCCGGTTTAAAAATATGAAAAGACAAATGAATGGCAAATACACGGGATAAATGTTGAAATTCACAATTCCAGAATTTTTCTTACTATTTGCAGTGCTAGTAATAATGAATAGTTTTACAAGATAAAACAGGCAATAATATCACAGAAAATCACGAGATGTTCAATTTTAATAGTCATCCTGTTTCTAGTGTACATCACAGTTTAATTAATACAACGTTGCAAAAGGTCCAGTTATTCACTTTGCTAGCAGCTGACATAAAATGCATCTCTGCAATTCAATCACTAGTTAGAATCCAGATTTTCACTTTTCTTTCCCTCCGACTAACATTTTATACTCATACAATATCTAATTGTAAATTCATACGTTCGTCTACTAAAGCAGTAGGTTTGAAAGCAGATCATCATAAAGCGTTTATCGTGTTAAAAGATAAGTGACATATTTGATGACATTATTTTTGACCTTCCACCCTCTTTTATATTAATGTGAGTCTTTTTTTATTCAAAACAAACTTTTTTTTTACTTTATCTAAATGTCCACAGAAGCCGTATGCCTGTAAGGTATTCGGATGCACTAAAAGGTACACAGATCCAAGTTCATTGAGAAAACACTTAAAGTCTCATTCCATGCAGGAATTCAGTGTACAAAATAAAAACAGTATGGTACATGAAAGAATGTTAATTAAAATAAATAATATATCTAATTCAGTTACAAGCTGTTCTTCACAAGTGTCTCCTTACACCCCGAACACTGTGGAGAACTCAAAAGAAATAAACACAGATCCGCATAACCTTTTGAAGTATAACTCAGATAAAAACATCACAAATGACAATAAACTATCATATGACAACTTAGTTCCTACAGATCATGTACAGAACAACTTACAATATTCATTTCCTTATATCGTGAATGCACAAACTGGAACATGGATGGAAAACAACAGTTACTTCGCCTGTTCATGTAATTCATCTCAAGAACCCGAAGTGAGTATCTATCTCTTAAATATACACTTCTTTATTTAATGTGTGCTAATAACACTAGTATGCCAACTACTGTGTTCCTCAACAGCTTAACCCTAACTAGGTCATGCCATAATAAGCCATACACCTACAAGTGAGGTAACCTATTTAACAGTCTGCACAGTCTATTTTGTATAACATTGGAAAAATTGTGACATGTTTATCATCTGCATACTTAAACCACCACACAACTCTCTTCATCAGCCTTCAAACCACTGAAATGATGATTCACATATAAAAATGTCTAAGAAGACTGTTAAATGAGTATCAGTTTTATTTCTGTTGCAAAAGCACTGATTACGTTTCCTTATTTCTGATTCTTTTTCACCGAGTTGTAATACGGTGAGGAAACTCATTTTCCGTCAAACATTTACACATATTTATCTCTACAGCGACGTTATCGAATTTAGCGTGAAACAATTCTCTTGATGAATAATTGCTTTGAGTAAGCGGATTTGAGAGAAAGTAGTTACCGAGTCTCAAGTAGTGATCAAATCGTGAAGAAAAACTGTTAAATGTTGTCAATAATTTTAATGCACTGTAGTGTCAAGACAATTGTAATGAAAACAAAACATTGAGACTTCAACCATCACTTAAGACTAGAAGGAAGCACCAGTTATTATAACCGTTTCATGACCAGTATTTACAAAACACATAGCACAACGTTTCAGTCCTAGTTGAGATGAACGTTATTCAACTATCCTGACAATTTATTTGATGTTGCATTAATCGAGCATTTACTAGTCAGAACAGGTATATGCAAATAGATAATCATCAGTTTTTTAATTCACGGAAAATACTTATTGAGACATAAATATGAGAAAAACAAAGTTCAGCAAAGAGTCTCTTTTCGGTGGATTCATACACATAGCTGTACAGTCACATTTATTTATAATTATTGTGTGTGGACATTCAGATTATCAAACAAAAATAAAAATTGGTCAGGGTTACTGTTTACGTCATTCAAATGCTTGTAAAATGTGATGAATAATCGAAATTGTAAGTGGATGGTGAAGATTGGTAAGTGTTAACAAGGGTTGCGTAATGAGGAATACGATGTTAATAGAGACAGGTGTCCAAAATAAGTTATGTAATAGGGAAAAAGAGTAAATAAAGAGTTAGTCACGAAGAAGAAGAAGAATTAACGTCTTCTTCTTAACCAACCGTTTATTTACTCTTTCTGAAAGAATTCTTTATTGCTATTAATAAGCGTTTATGTTAACAACTGGTTATATTGGACGGAAATGTTCGGTCTTTGTTACTATCCTGATCTCTTATATGGACGCCTTAACCATGTCTGAAGATTTAAATGCTGCTACTTGGTTATTGGTGGCTTGTAATGATATCCAAGATGTGCATTTCGTCCTTTTTAATACTTGTCACCTGGGTAAACCTCCATCCTCAGTGAGTGAGGACGTTTCCACTGACACCCAGCCTTTCATTCCGATATAATGAATCTACGGGGGATATAAATTCAGTCGAATAATTTGTAGTTGATACCTGTAATATAGGAGGTGACACTTGTGGCTAAGTGGCCTAGCAGATAACACTTCGGTGTTTCAAGCGACTGATGCACGTCTCAAGTCTCAGTGGGAAAATCTTCCATCATTCACTAGGGATACAGGCACTTCCAGCCTGTGAGTCTCAAACAGGATGAAATGCGAATCTAGGACTTCTCTGAGAGCCACCATCGACTAAATAAAGTGTTTTTCAAATTTCAAGAAAATGCTCATCACTAATCTATCCAATTTCGCCAACGATTGGAATTTCCAATCAATATATCATTAATCATTTTTCTCGTCATCAAATTAATCACATTAAATGTGATTGTAGTCAGCTTTACAATTATTTTTTCTGATCGTCTTTTTATCACAAAGATTCTTTTTACCAATTGTCTTTCTGTCCCAATGAATAAACAAACATGTGCTATCGTTTGGAATACACCTATGTGATTGGTAGATAATCTAAGGTTGTACGTTTGTGAGTCCATGTCTGTGTTGATTGTTTATTTGATTCACCAACCTTTGTGTACTATCTTTGTGAGAAGTATGTAGTGGGCTGGTAATATAAGAAATCAGCAAGTAACGTGTCTATCCACTTTCATTACAGAAATGGAGTTACCATACCTGTACACATACACACAAAAGCGTATACACACAATTGTGATAATCGTGGGAATTACAAAATATCATTTATTAAAGTATTTGTTCATTTACGTCTGAACTGATGTGAAAATAAATCAGAGATTCATTTAGGCTATTATTGTTACTATTATTGGCAATTTCATCACTATTGTGTTTTTTTTTTACTTTACACGTTATATTTCATGCAAATTTTTCTTGACTTAGGCATCTTTATAACTTATACTTAACTACGTTCATATGAATATGCATATGTTTAGCATGTGAAAGAAAGCATGCTATTGTTTGGCGTTAAAAGAAAACAAAAAAACTAATTATTTGAGTTGAATAAAGAAAGAAAGAAATCACGTGACACTGAGTGTTTTCCTAGAATCCGTACAAAATAAAGACTTAGTGAAACTTTCAATGAAACGTCACTTTAAGTACTATTGGAAAAAACTTGTAGATTCACTGCTATCCTATTTACTTCAAAGTGAAATAGCCCGTGTGTGCTGCCATATGTGATTTTAATTGGCAGGAGGAGAAATGTATAAAGCGATTTTGACTTATTTCAGGCAGGTTATCTGAACATGCCTGTATTTCAGTGAGTAATGATGTTTCCCCTGACACTGAGATACAACTTAATTGGTGGATGGTGATTAGCAGTGGAATCCAGGATGAGCATTTCGTCCTATTTGGGACTCGTCATCTAGATGTACCTGCATTTCTCAGTGAGTGATGATGTTCCCACCGACAATCAAATATTCAATTGAATTAATATGACCCGTTGCACAAGAGGTGGCTCTCGTGGTCCAAGTGGTCTAGTGGATAACGCCTTGGCGTTTGAAACTATGAGCACTGGGTTCGAGCCTCGGTGGGAACATCATCACCCATTGAGAAATGCAGGTACATCCAGATGACGAGTCCCAAATAGGACGAAATGCGCATCCTGGGTTCCACTGCTAGTCACCATCCACAAGTTAAATACTAAGTGCCCAGACATCGTCGAGGCATTTACATAAGAAGCCGACATGTCAACCTGAGACAGAGCACTCCAGTCCAATCAATAGACAGGAAAATCAAAAATTTAATAAAACTGAGATACAACGTCTATCATTTTTAACACCAAAGCCCAATCTAGTTAAGATGATCGGGGATCCAGAGGCCGCTAGTTTGAATGCTCCAGTTACTCAGTTTTTTATTTCAACTTCAGGTACCACCTATCTCTGTCTGTCTGGATTCAACATAGAACTTGGCACCGAAGTGCACCAGTTCGAGTTGCAACGTTCCAAATTTCACACAAAGGTAGACAAGATGAGTGAAGAGAATCAATAGAGTTTGACAGGTATAAGAGCGAAACAGAACGGGTAATGGTAGAAAGAAATATGAAAGATTACAGAGACTGAATACATCAGCGCCATTGACAACGATTTTGAGCCATGTCATCTATTGTCTCCAGCCATTGATTCCTGGAGTCCCGAGGGCCCCAACCCGGAAGTCTGCATCTCCCTACCTGACTCAGTTTAACTGTCAAGGATTTCATGGATTGATGCCATGTTTTTGTTTGGCCACCACTTACTCTTTTCCAACCTGCACCTATATCAGCTAATAATACCCGTCGGGGGAGGCGATGGTTAGACATGCGCAGCACGTGACCTAGCCATCTCAATCTATGTAACTTTATAGCCTCGTCGATTGATTTTCCCTCTTTGCCCAACACTCTACGCCGAACGTCAACATTACTTACCTTATTAAGCCACCTAACGTGAGACAGAGATCGCAGACATCTATGATCGAAAGCAGTCAGCCTTTTCATGTCTTCAACTCGTATTAGCCATGTTTCAGAGCCATAGACAAGGACGGAGCGAACTGCTGAGCAGTACACACGTCCCTTGGTTGATAGCCGGATGACACACCTACGCCAGAGATGGTGTAAGTTAGCGAAAGCAGCTCGAGATTTTTGGATCCATGCTGAGATTTCGTCGCCAATCAGTCCGTTGGTGCTGATACAACTTCCCAAATAGGTGAAGTGGTCAACATATTCTATCACTTCACTCCCTATCACTAAGTTAGGAGTTGACGTAGTTCAGTCCTGTAGTAGCATCTTACATTTTACAGGGGCGAATCGCATGCCAAACATACGAGGATTGCTGCTCAGGGTGTTCAGCATTTTGTCAACATCCCCCCCTAACAGGACTATGTCATCTGCATATTCTAAGTCCATAAGACTATTCCCTGGTAACAAGTCAATTCCTAAGTCGTTACGTTCAGTTAAGGATACTTCCATCAGCATATCTATGATGAAGTTAAACAGAAATTGGGAAAGTGGACATCCCCGTCGGACACCACGAGTTGTTATCAATTCAGATGACAATTCCCCATAAGCCCTTATACGACAACGTGAGTTTGAATAGAGTGCCTTGATTAGTGCAATTTACTTTCTTGGCACTCCCTTCACAGTCAAACATTGCCATAGTACCTTTCGATCCAAGGAGTCGAAGGCCGCCTTCAAGTCAAGAAATGTGGCAATTGTTGGACGCCGAAAAGTGTGTCTGTGTTCTAGAATCTGTCGGAGAGTGAAGATATGATCTATGCACCCTCTACCTGGTCTAAAGCCTGCTTGATTTTCCCTCGTTTGTTCCTCCCGAATTCTGCTTAGTCTATCCATGATAACTGAGCCTAGGATTTTAGAAACTATGTTGGTTAGGCTGATCGCCCTATGATTATCACATTAGGACTTGTTTCCCTTCTTGAATATCGGTATAATAAGTGACTTACCCCAGTCTGATGGAACCGTCTCTGATTCCCAGACTTTGCCTAGTACCTCAGTTAATCTACAAACTAGTATGTCACCCCCATATTTAAACACCTCCGGAATAATTCCGTCGAGTCCTGCCTCTTTGCCTCGTTTCAAATTACAGATAGCTTTTGTGACCTCACTTACAGACGGCGGACCAGGTATCACCTAATACATCAATCAGCCAATCCCACGCTGTCGCAGATAGTCTAACCATCAACATTAGTTATTCCTGCCTTCCTGCGGACGCCACTCTACATGCTACTAATATATTTACTCGTATTTAGCACACAAAGCTATAATACATAGTCCTATATTACATTCAAGATTTTTAGATGACTTGCAACCATCACGTCAGCACACATCAATATCAACCTATCAAACAACGACCGTCTCTGACGTTTTCATTTGGAAACCCCTGGCTTATTAAATGAGTCTTTCATGCCTTAATAATTCCCAATTTCTGCTAACAATGTTAGCCTCAGTGCGTTTTTTATTTATTTTATGTACTCTTGTACAAATATTAATAAATATTTTGGAATTAGTTACATACCATATGTCTAATAATAATAATAGTACTGCCACACTGAGGGCGAAACACTACATATGAAGTGTTAATTTTCAGATATTTTGAAAGTGCAGCAGATCAGTGAGACGATTAAGCTGGAAGAAAGAATTTGCTAGAATGGAATAAATTATCAGTTTAGTGTGGAGCAAGTATTCACTGAAATGAAGCCTGAAATGCGGGGGAATCATGCGTGCAAAGCTGAATAAGTATGTAGAAGTTAGGTTAAGTGGTATCTGTCAGTACTGTTCGACGAAGAAAACACTGATAAGCAAGAGTGTAACGGAGGTAGTGAGAGTTTATGCTAAATCTTGAATTTTTTGTTTAATTATACAAATTTCTTTTATATCATATTTTTATTTTTCATAATTAGTGGAATGTTAAGCCCCAGTTTCACTCAAACTATTACTTCACTGAACCCACACCGTGGAAGGATGAAGTTACTCCTGTGCTGTCTCCATCTATTTGGGATGCAAATAAAACATATATGCAGGATTTTAACACAAGAAGCCAATGGTGATTATGATTAAGGCCTGGTACAGAACTTTGAGTTCTCCTACATTTTAACAGTCTGAACAATTAGAATTCAGTTGAAAAGAGACTGTGAGCCAGTGATTATTTCTTCTATTTCTTCTTCTTCACTTGTTCACTGACTTATTTGTCTTTCACCCACTTTACTTTCCTCTACATACTCAGTGCAATTACTTCTACAAAACAGAGTGAAAAGTATTCAGTAAAAACATTTTTTATTTAATGGGTTCCATTATTTTTTCATTGTGACATATTTTCTTTTACCTATTTTCATATTGTTGCCGTTTAGTAATTTACTGGTGTTTATTTTGGAATAAAAGTCAGTTTTGGATACCAGTAGCCAGATAAACGTTGTGGCCGAAAAAAATTGCAACATGACCCCCCAGGTACCAGCCAAAATCATTTGTCATCGCCTATATTTAACCTGGTACCCTAAATTGTACTAATTTATGCATGCATCAGATCACTTCCATTTCTTTTTTTTCCACCAACTACGTACGGACTGAGATCTTAAACTCAACGGAACTAAATAGTTTTGACAAACGTGTTGAGTAGGTCGTTTTCCACACATATACAAGCGATAGATTCACTTTAATCAAAGCAAATATGTCTTGTCTAGTTCTGGTAGAACTAGACTCAACACTTGGTATTGTACATCGCATCAATAGTAAAATAAATATATTTTTTCTCTTCGATTTAAAACTGACGCCTTACTGATAGTTTCTTTTAATAATTTTTGGTTACTGGTATTGTATAATGCTCATTGAACTGATTTTTGATTTATGAACTTTGTAATTCGACTGCATGAATTCATTTTAATACTGTGTTTATCGTCTGAAATATTATTGTGATTACTGTCAGACTTCGCCTTATATCATCCAATTAAATTATCAACAAACGACGTTAATTTTAACAGTCAGTGTAGCGCTTTTAGTTACACACTGAGGATATTCAATCGAATAACAGCTTGTTGAAGATTTAAACAAACAGAATAAACTACCTTCCAGTGGAGTAACTAAAATCAACGAAAAGGGAAGTGGCTTTGCGATAATCGTCCTTGATTTCTGTTTATGAGGTCGTATAGTGTTTCGTTTTCAATGCTCAATTGAAATTTTTGTCAATTCAGTTACATTCACCTCTTCCGACAAAACCAAGTGAAATCAGTCGGAGGATATATATATATATAGTTTTGTGCAGCTTGTCTTTTCTTTTCTAAAATGAGCTGTGCAGATTCGTGATTTATTAGAGATGCATAAAATTTGATGACCTAGGCTTGCATGTGAAGCGCCAGATATTATCTGAATTGAAGGAAATCTAAGGTCACCAAAATAAGCTTATTATTGAATCAATTTTCAATCTGTTAGTACTGCTCGGCTACAATTCGGGAGAGATATAATACACATTATGCAAATTCACTGCTAAAGAGGCCTATAATAGCTGACTTCGACATTGTGGACCCATCCAATCAAATGAACTTGATGCATAATGTCTACCCATTTCATCAGTTTCTGCACTTTCACCTAGATTAATTAATGGTATACTCTGTAGTAATCTTCTATCAGACAAACATCTCTACCTTGAGATTAATCGGTAACTTCTGTTCCCCAGGTTGTATTTATTTATCAATAACTGTAATCATCATTATTTGTTCAACACTTACATTTCCAGTTACTTATGTAAATTAAACAATCAACCAGAGACTTGTTCATTCCAGGTACAATTTCCCACTCATTTTTAATGAGTGTTGTATACGTAGTTATTCAAGGAAACCTGCTCCAATGAGGCTGTGAATACCGTTTATGCGGTAAGCACTCTATGGATTTGAAGGTGATGGAACATGTATCCTAAGTAGCCACACGTATATACTGATTATTAAACAGTAACAAGAAAAATCTCCTTAGAGAAATATACCATTTTAAAAGCAAGTGCAAATACTATACAGAAAAAGTTACGAAAGAATAATAAGACTTCCTGATGAGAGAGTGGTACTCAAATTCAACCCTTCATCGTGCATAATGAAACAATTTAGAAACAAGGTTTGAGCAAAGAAATATATTCCTTTTCAGCATTAGGGTTATCTTGTCTTCAGTTTGTTGTGTTTGGTCTTTCTGGCTACTTTCTTTTGAAAATTTGTTTTCATCTGACATGACTGATAACATTTTATCGATGTAGTCTTGGCGATTCATCAAAACAATGCCAGCACCTTTGTCGGGGCGTGTCAGAACCAATGTCTTTGTTCCTTAGAATCTCACGTAGCTGCTTTCTGTGCTCAGATGAAATCAATGTTTTGACACTTAGTTTTGTGTTGATGTGCTGATGGCAGATGAAGAACGAATAAATTATCAGCTCTAAATTATTCGAGCAAATACGACCCTCCGGTTCCGTGATTCCCCATTTATATAGTCTGCCGAAAGTGCACAAAGAGAATATGCCACTACATCCAATCTTGGACATGACAAATTCCCCATATTCCTTTTCTATTAGTTCCTCATCATCAGCTGGCTCTACACTAATATACAGTTTTTTACATCGAAATTTTCACCAATCAAGTGGTTATTTTAGTCAGTTTTAGGTATAGGGAGTGAAATTAAGAAGTTAAAAGTCATTGAAAATATCAACTAATAGATGGTTGTGACGAAATGTTAATGTTTTGAGGGAGCAGTGAAAGCCAATTACGGCATTCAAGACAAGTTAATTCATAGGCGTTAACAGCAAGTTATCATATAATCAAGGAATTTGTAAAACAATGATGACTAAGAAGATTAGGATGACGTAAAGAATTACGTAAAGTACAAACAAGTTAATAGAATTAGCTTGAATTGTACAAATAACAAAGTCAAAAGTGAGTTATAAGTTATAAAAACCTAATACATTAAACGTAGTTGGCCATGGGAAAAAGAGCGGCTGAACACACAGATTTGGCTCAATGTAACTAGTTCTGCACCAGCAGTTAGACTGGTAAATACACATGGAGGAGGCGAAACAGGGCAGTTTGTCTTTATTTCTTCGAACGAAGTATTAGTTGGCTAGTGAATGTAGAGCATAACGTAGCTGAATGCAACTTCGAAAGCTCCTCTCAGAAGCTATGACAAGATCTCACTATTGATATCACTTATGAATTCTAGTCTTAGGAAGACTGATAATTTGCGGACAGTGGGAACCTGCAACATTTTACTTTCTGAGTTCATGTGTTTGTCCAAGAATTCGGAATACCCATTTCCGCTTAACAGACCAAAAATATTACGGGTTCTTACTTCAGTGTCTCATTTGAACAGATAACTCTAGCTCCGTGAACCAGACATATAAACAAATTACCTTTGTATTGAAGGTATTTGTATTTGAAGAGGCGGGATACTCAGAAAGTGACTATATTGAAGATGACGTTTCGGTAGATATACATTGCTTGCTGAAATGTAAAACGAATAGTTTTCATGAAGTACGGCAAACTATTTACAAGAATTTCGCTGCCAGTGTCATTCCTAAGTTCTGAATATATTGTTAATTCCCTCTATGATTCTGACTAAATTGTTTACAGTCATTCTTCACAAGGTTTATTTTGTTAAGAGTCTAAGTTCCTCATCGAAACCCTCATTTGAGTCATTGTTGACTGTGGTGAAATTCCACCTATAAATCAGTAAATTACAAATCACAAATTAATTCGCAAGAATTTGACCTGAACTCATGGTTAAAATTCCGTATTATTGATGCTATTATATTATTCCTTCCTTGAGCTCCTAGTAGAACATCATTGTTGAGCATTCATCTCTCGGTTGGTTTGTTGCGAGAGTTTCTTTTCGCTAGTTCTTTCTGGACTGCGATTTGATCTGTGATATGGACCAAGCGTAGGCAGCTGTTGATAAAAGTTTGAAACCTGTTTAAGATGGTTTCCATGATCCGCACTGCAAGTTTCTGACCTGTATAAAAGAACTGACTCACATAACACTTGTACTGAAAATCTGAATCTTGTCCTTTATGCTGGTTGAGTGGAGAAGATTTTCAAACTGATTTCAGATTGATATAGAAGCATCTTACCTCTGCGGCTCTAACATCTTCATTCATTCCGACTGCTTGTGGTTGAAATAATACTCCCTAGATGAGTGAAGGAAGCAACCTCTGTCAAATCTCTCATCTTGGTTGTGATTGGTGTTGGTTGTTGTTGCTGTCGGTTGGTTGGTTGACTATCTTCATCACTTCCATCTCCACCTTCGCCATGTTCACCTGACATCTTGTCTTCGCTGCCACCCCGTTCTTTCAGTTTGTTGATTTTCACGTGAAAGACTTCGAGTGTGTGTGACAGTAAACATATATCATCCGCGATATCTATTTATTCTACTGTCTTCTTACCGGTGGTCCAGCGTATTCCTGTCTTCTCACTCCCGACGCATGCTGTGCGGCATAATCCAGTCCACCACAATTAAGAATATCATCGATGATAATAGACAGACTGCCTTGTCTTAATCCTGTATTCACTTTGAGGGCCTCGATGAGTTTTCCGTTGTGGATCACCTGGCACCTGGTACCGACATATAGACAGGTGTTCAATGAAGTTGATAAAGATTTGAGCACTGCACGCCATAGTGTTGAAGTAGTTTCCAAATTACGTCTCGATCAACGCTGTCTGTGGAAGGCCTTCTCGAAGTCGATGAACTTGATTCAGTAGCTTGAACGCATTCAAGATTTCTACATTCGTTAGAGGGTTGGTGTCCACTGGCAGGCGATTCTGTGCGTGTTGCTGATGGTATTTCTGGGCGAGTTGCAAATGATGGTTGATTCAAGAGTCCCTCTTTTACCCAGGAGTAATTCTACACGTTCCCTTGAAAATCACCTCCAAAGAGTTCCAATGTTTTTCCACACACACACAGGTGCCCTCAGTAATGCCACGTATCGTCTCCGACCTTGCTCTAATCTGATCTGTAGTGAAGGCATCCCTTTTAGCCTTGTCCTTCCGTTTCTGAATGTTGAACTTGATATTGGTCTATCTCCATTTGTTTTCATGGATTTCAGCTTCATCTTGTAGGCTCCTCAAACTGATGGTCTGAGCCGACATCTGCTCCCCTTCTCGACTTCGTGTTCAGCAGGCTGCATCTCCACTTCCTTGAGCAACATTCAAATGAACTGGTTTGTAGTGTATCCGTCAGGCGGAATCCATCGTGCTTGTACACGCTGTCTCCAATCACCAAATCACTGAAAGCTCAATGGCCTACGAATAGTTCTCTGTCCTCATTCACTTCGCAAAGTGAGACTCTCGACCCATGATGAGTTCTCTTCCTGTATTATCTGCCTCCAGTTCGGCTTGCATTCATATCTTCCATAAGGATTTCTATGTATCCATTCGCGATGTTTCCCATTACTGTTTGTAGCTGTTTGTAGAAATCTTCCTCCTTCTTTTGTTCCGCGTAGTTTGTCCCACTGTGTGTAACATGGGATAATTGTGATCTTCTTTCCTTCCTTTCGGATTGAATCTTATTATTATGATTCTGGAAGAAATCGGTTTCTACGGCATTGGGGCTTTGGATGCCACTGGTGACATCATGATCACCACTCACTTCTTCAGTGTACTTTTAGTTGCCATCTGGGTGACCAGACCGGAGTAGATTCACCAGTTGACAATTTTGACAGTCCACACCCATTTTATCTGCTCTCGTAGATTTCTCGCACTTCTATGCAATATCTTCTAATTTCTTTGGCTGCCCGGGCAGCCTTCCCAGCCTCGTACACTATACGAACATTCCACGTCCTCATTCTTATTCTCGCTTTCATCGAGAGAAGACATACTGGCTGATTGGCTTCCCGTAGGTTTTTACCAGCCGGTTGTGTCATTTTGTCTCTTCTATCCCAACAAAAAATAAGTTTTAAGAAAATATTTTTTGTACATTTATCTTGTGTTGATGTATTTGTAGCAGTTTGACTGATCTTGTGTGGTAGGGTCACTAGCCCCATGCCAACCTACCTCTTTTCCCATGCTTGGGACCAGGCAGAAAGCTATCTTGCTAGCAAACTAGGCAAGGTTAGTCAAAATTCTGACAAGCTATAAATTCACAGCTATTTGTACTAATTTCATTATATGAATTATCGCTCCTACTTTTCTCTAAGGTTTTAGCAGATTTATAAATGATTTTTTTTGTGTGTAGTTTTTCAGTGAAATTATTACTATTTGGTTAAACTGTGTATCAAAATATACGAATTTCATTAATCTAAAATATTTAGAAGAAATTGTTTTTAGGTGATAATCTATAGAACTTCTCTGTTGGTTATGTATTCAATCATTTAATATTATGAGGCATGGCATGCATACTCAGATATAATATCGCTATTGTGGTCACTCACTTCCTTGTCTTCATTAGTGTGACAATAAAAAACTATACTCAAGTAAAATTATTCTGAATCACTACCCTTTTTTATGGTAGCATTTACAGAAAAAGCTACACTTCAGATAAACAGGCATCTTTCATCCTATTGGTTAACCTAAATAGGGTAATGAGAGCAATTCGACTGTCAGGATACACATGTACGGGTCACTTTCATTTAATTCATCAAAAAAGACGTATTAATTCATAGCAGTATAACGGATAACAATGCTTTCGCACACTTGTTTACTTTATAACTTATCTACTTATCTACGATCACAGTAGTCAAATTATAATGAAAAACAATTCTACGTCACACATGTATTTACACAAAAAACAGTTTGCGGCAGTATAATAATGATAACAATAATAGGTGCGTTCGTTGATTCACTCACACAAAATACCCAATAAACACAGAAAAATAGTTCCAGGAATAAATTATGTCAATAGAATGAATATCATACTTTCCATTTAATTCTGTTTGAATATGCAAAAACAAAAGTGAAAGGAAAGAAAGAAAGAAGAGATTGAAATCCAACCAAAAGAGTGTTTCAAAAGAATCTAGCAATGCCAACAGTGATAAGAGTAATAATTAATACAAGCTCTAGTATGCGAATATGCATGAGAGACTATATAATTTCTCAAACTATCCACCATGGGTATTTTGGAGATGTGAAGGCGATTGGATAATGACTACAACAACGAGAAGAATAACATCAAATCTAAACTGTAAACGTTTTCAAGACAGAAAGGGCGTGGATTACTTCTTTCTCAGTGCATTCATAAAATGTGCACATGTGTATTATAAGGACAACATCTAAATGACTATTGATCAATTAATAAATAAATAAATAAATAAATAAGTAAATGAAATCGGAGTGTTGATCACACCTGATCACCTTCAAAATAGAAAATATCATATGAAAATGCTTTTCCAATGACTTGAAGGCTGATGCGTATACTGGTTAGCTTAGGGTGAAGCAGAAGTACGCAGGAATACTGTGATAGAAAAAAATCAAGGTAGTAATCACAATCGAGCTCTTAAAATTGTGTTGACAATGACAATAAAGTGCAACAAACTTAATATTACATAATGAAGAGAACACTTGCTCGATTCAGAAGCCTAGTAGATCTATAGTCATAGAAGTCTATATTATTTAGCTTCTGTTTGAAACCAAGCAACATGGGTGATACAAGTGACAAGTATAAGCGAACCACTGGTTTAAAGCTAAAAGAAAATACAAATGAACATAGAATCTGTTCATTCATTAAGAAAACAATCAGAAGACGCAATCAAAAGAGGCAGTAGTGCGAACTGATGTCTTATAATCAAGGAGATAATCAGGGTGGAATAGGGTGAAAAAATACTTACGAATAATGAATAAGACAAGAAGCAAAAAATAAAAGTCTGGTGGTGCACTCGTCGGCATACACACAAGCACACTCTAACATCCATTCAAAAATTATTATTATTATTCTGCATAAAAATAATCAATAAAGCAATGATATTAATGTAAATGAAAACAGAGATTGATTTTTTATTGGTTTCATTTCTTTCCCCGTCAGAGAGAAGGTCGTCTGATTCATTTATCGAGTTCGACATCACCGATATACCGTCGTCCTCTTTTGCGTCTTTTACCATTAGTTTTTTTTCGAACATGAAAGCAAAACAAAAACAGAGAAACAGGTGAATTCAATTAGTGAAGAATATTTACAGCTTAGATGGTGATGTTTTCAGGTGTGTTTGTGTTCTGTCTGAGTTGAATTTTCCTAGTTGCGAAGCTTTCATTAGCCTTCTAGATAACATATACAGCGGCAACTCCGACTCAGAGAATAAAACCACACCAAAAAACAGGTAAATCAGATATTCATATCTACAAAGACGTTAACTTCAACTTGAAGGTAGAAAAGATTACAAACAGTCAATAGAGAGAAGTGGTATTTGTACTTGAATACTGACTATATATGTCCTGACTTATGTATGCAAATGATTATAGTTGCAGCTAAGCAGTTGTTCATGATGTTAATGCTTTCTTGAATCATCATTTTTCAAAACTCACTTTCATAATAATCGATTGATTAACAGAATAGTGTTGTGATTTATGCCTCTCCCTTGAATGAACTGAATTAATTTCAGTTTGTCAGATGGTAGGTTAGAGCTGAATATCGAGGTTGTTAACACACACACTCATACGATGAGTAATAGTAAAGCTCTCCTCTCCGGATGAATGTCTATCCGCACATCATATGCAACCAATATTATTTTAAATAATTGAAACTGAAGTGCTCAAAAGTGTGTTTAAAGAGGTTGGTAATGCGCATTTTGAATGATGAATCCATTAGATAGACTGACTGATCAGTCAATGGATAACTGATAAATAGTGCTGTTTTGAAATGTTTTCAGAGGTGAGTGAATTGTTGATATCTTTTCAGTAGTTCAGAGTGTGTCAAGTGCACCTCCCAATCGATTTATACTTCTCGATAACAGGTTTGACTGATTCCTCCACATCTCTGAAGATGCTTTGTCCGGAAACAGACAAAGGTGAGATGCAGAAGTAAGGTTTATTAGTGATTCCGTCTAGTAGGTACGGGAAATCAAGCACATGGAAATAGAATTCCTACGACTGATAATTAGTAGCAAAAACACGTCACTGACAGAATATACCACCTTGACACACAGAGATAGTTCGCCATTATTCATCATTCAGTTTATCTCAATAAGAGCGGAATTTTGCACTAACACCGCATCTAAGGTACATTACTCACTACGAAGTATATAAACTAAGAAATTCACTATAGCTGTGAGTTTAATTATAACAAAATGTTTGCATGGAGAGTGAAGTACCCTGGGCTTCAATTGAGTTTTCCGTTTCGAGCACCGAAGCGATGAAACACCTACAATATTTTACTAAGTAGAATGGATGCATGAATGTAAACAAAATGAAATTAGAACACTGTAATGATAATCAATTCGTAAGTTTCCAGTTTTGATCAGTGAAACAGCTGGAAATCAATCAGTGCTTACCGAATAAGTCTTTCATAGATATATCACTTTTCTCCAAGATTTCATCTTCGCCATTTGTTTGGGAAATACCACTAGCAGAAAGTGATGCAGCTGCCTCATCGGTGTCCATTGGTAAAACACCTTTAACTCTTAAATATCTGCAAGATAGAGTTCCTTCGGAAAACTTCTCAGCATTCGTATTATCAAACACAAGATTTAAGCGTTCTGGAGTAAACAATTGTTTAGGTGAATTTTCATGTTCAATAGCTGCAGATTGCGCGAGGATCTGAGGTCCTGCAGATCCTGGCCACGTAGCCAGAGTACTATCGGACAGGTGAAATGTTAGCCCGACAAGTTCGTCTATTGCCTGTTAACACAAAAAATTGACAATTTAGTCAGAAGGTTGATGTCACTTTTAAAACAGCATTTAGGTCACGATTACTTTCCATCAAAATCCTTATTTATAGTAGTACCACTGTGTCTTTACATATGCAATACTAACCCTATGGAATTTTTTCTGAGAATTCCTGGACGACAATGAGAAATTGAATTTCATTTTGCACAAAGCGAAGGCTTAAGTTTGGGGGTAAAACCCGTAAAACGTCATATTTTCATATTCAGAGTTAATGCGGAGTGCTATAATTGAACATATAACCAACACTGGGCACTCAGTCTCTGAGCAAAACACATTAAAAGCGATTTAAAAAATTAAAATAAGTCCCATTAAGACATTATTTTTCCATATTATTAGCACTATTGAGGCTTTAGCCATTCATACGAAAACTCTGATCATTTACGTCTAAAAAAGAAAGTTTTCCATCCACTCCTTCCAATTTGTAGATAATTGCAAAACTAACTGATGATAACATTTTGCTATCATTATTACGAATGTCGCGCGCTTTTCGAGTACTGCGCTACATTTACCTTATTTATAAAAACTCTCGTTTCTGTAAACACAGGAAGAGAACTCATCATGGGTAGAGAAGCTCTTGGAGAAATGAATGAAAACGGAGAACTCTTCGCCGACTTCTGCGCCTTCAACAAACTAGTGATTGGTGGCAGTGTATACAAGCACGAAGATATCCACAAGGCTACATGGGTGTCACCAGACGGGCAAACCAAAAACCAAATCGACTTCATCTCAATGCTGCTCAAGGAAGTGGAGGCGCAGCCTACTGGACACAAAAGAGAGAAGAGGAGCAGACGTTGGTTCAGACCACTATCTCGTACAAGGTACAATCCAAATCAAATTAAAAGCTTTCAGGGAAACATGAGCTGCAGATAGACCACAAGCCAAGTTCAACACTGAAAAACTGAAGGACCAGGCTACGAAGGACATCTTCATTGCAAACATAAGGGAAAAAGCCGAGACACAAATCAACACCAGCGAAAAAGTCGGCGTCGAAAAGCACTGGGACAACTTGAAAACGGTGTGGAGTCAAACCTGCATGGAAGTTCTAGGCAGAAAGAAGAGACAGGACAAACAGTGGCTCACTACGGACACTTGGAAACTAATAGAAGAGAGAAGGACAGTGAAACAAAAGATTATCCAGTCCACTGATGAGCAACAAAAACAGGAGCTGAATGCAAGCTACAATACACTGAACAAAAGAGTGAAGAAGAGTGCCAGAGAAGACAAAAGAAAATATTATGAAACCATGGAAAGTGAAGCAGAACAAGCTGCAGGCAAAGGAGACCTCGCCACACTCTACCAAACAACTAGGTTCCTATCGGGCAAAAGTTCGACACAGATTAAGCCAATAAAGGATGACAATGGAAAGTCAATCACCAAAGAGGTGGAACAAAGAAAACATTGGGCTGAACACTTCAAAAGACTTCTAAATCGACTGCCACCTACAACGCGCCCGACAATACCAACAACGGAAGCAGAACTACCAGTAAACATCGGCCCCCCGACGAAATCAGAAGTCCTGAATGCAATCAAGATGCTAAAAGCTGGGAAAGCAGCAGGACCAGATGGAATCCCAGCAGAAGCTTTGAAAATAGACCCAGAGACAACAGCGGACTTGATGACGCCACTATTGGAGAAGGTGTGGAAAGAGGGCAAAGTACCCGAGGATTGGAAGAACGGATACTTATTCAAACTTCCAAAGAAAGGAGACTTAAGTCAATGTAAAAACTGGCGTGGAATTATGCTTCTGTCCATTCCAAGCAAGATACTAAGCCGCATCATCCTGGAGAGAATCAAAAACGCCAACTTGGATGAAAAACTTCGACCGGAACAGGCCGGATTCAGGAGAAACAAATCATGTATTGATCAAATCGCCACTCTACGGATCATCATTGAACAAAGCTTGGAATGGCAGTCACCTCTCCACCTCATCAACTTCATCGACTTTGAAAAGGCCTTCGACAGCGTCGATCGAGAGGTCATTTGGTAACTACTTCGCTACTACGGGGTCCCATCGACAATTATACATCTCATCCAACAGTTATACGACAATGCTGCATGCCAAGTAATCCACAACGGGAAACTTACGGAAGCCTTCGAAGTGAGGACGGGAGTGAGGCAAGGCTGCCTTTTATCGCCAATGATCTTCCTGATTGCAGGAAATTGGATAATGCGACAGACAACGGCAACCAACGAGGGAACAGGCATAAAATGGACTCACACAAAAGACTTGGAGGATCTGGACTTCGCCGATGATATATGTCTGATTTCCCACAAACTGGAAGATATGCAAGTGAAAAGCAACAAGTTGGCAGAAGAAGCATCAAAGATAGGACTTCAAGTGAACATAGATAAAACAGAGGTGATGAAGATTCCTGGCCAACATCAACTGCAACAACAACAGACAACAATCAGCAGCATAAATGGGAGGAACCTGAAAGAAACAACCTCTTTCACTCACCTACCTGGGAAGCATCCTTTCAACTACAGGCGGAACTGACGAGGATATCAAAGCCAGAATCGGAAAAGCAAGACAAGCTTTCATTACTCTCAAATCTGTATAGAGGTCAACAGCACTCAGCATCAAAAATAAGATCCGGATTTTCAACTCCAATGTGAAGTCAGTGCTACTATACGGATCAGAAACTTGGCCAGCGCGTCATAAAGAGCATCTCAAACAAACTTCAGACCTTCATTAACAGTTTTCTTCGCTCAATACTCAAGATCAGATGGCCGGCCAGAAAACATCAGGTAGTGAGCGAACCAACCAGGAGCCGATTGTGAAACAAATAGGCAGGAAGAAATGGAGATGGATTGGCCATACTCTGAGGAAACCAGCAAGTGACATCACTAGACAAGCCATTACTCGAGTGGAACCTGAAAGGGAAGCGGTGAGTTGGTCGTCAGTGCAAGGGTGACTTGGAGGAGGTCATGCGAGGAGGAGATGAAAGCATGTGGACAGACCTGGAGCGGGGTGAAAAAGTTGTCAGAAAACCGAAGGCAATGGAGGTGAGCAACTGAAGCCCTATGTTCCTCTAGGAACTAAAGGAGACAATAATAATAATAATAATCATTATTACTCATTTGTCTTGGATTTTTCGCTATTTGATATTTGTCTCCACACTCCTTCCATCAACATCCAATTCCCTGAAGTTTTTCCATATTACTCGACCTCTAGTCTAAACTTAATAAAAATTATAGTTCTAAAATACTTCACTGATGTGTACAATGTTCCAAACTAATTTATTTTTTTGAGGGAAGAAATATATATATATATATATATATATATATAGATAAAGAAATATATTCCTTTTCAATAAGTTCCTTATCAAATGCTATACACTAATATATATACTACTTTGTGGTAATATGCAGTGTAGGGACAACCACGAAAAAAATAGTAGTACCAAACCACCAGAGGTTTGTTCACAAATGTATTAACACACTCATTATCGTCAGTGGAACAGCTTATATCAATCGGAAAGAATACCATTTTCACAAAATTGTAATCCGACATAGATGAACTGCCTCTAACTTGAGATTCGTATTCAGTTATTGCACAGTCAGTAGATTTTTGGTTTAGGAGTAGGTTTCGAATAGTCAGTGTTCAGGCTGACATAGACTTAGTATCTTCACATACATGACGAATATGTTTGACATTATGATGGATGTAACTTGTGTACATTGGGTTGGATACGCTGTTGTGTTCTTACCAATCAGAATAAGGGAGACAGTTCTTGACAGTGAAATTAGCCAAACTGACTAACAACAATATATAACTTAAAGTGGCTTTAATGTGACAGCTGTAGTGACAGTGATGAAAAACAATAAATAATTTATAGCATAAAAGAGGTTTCAGATATCACATTGTTGTGGTATGTGATTAATTTCAGTGTAGACCCCATGAGCACTGGACAGTTTTTCTTTCGTTAGTTTTGCACTTTTCATCAGTGGCTAACTGAGAATCTTTAGGCTTGCATAGTCTCATATACTTTTTGCCACTTACCTTCTCTTCAGTGGAATCCTGTTTCTCTTGATTTTGTTGTTCAGGTTCTTCATCTTTTGGATTCAGATGCACTATTGGAATAACCTTTGTTGCATCATCCGAGGGAATGTACACCCATTGTAAGCGATCTTTTAGATGGGCTGGATAACCTTGACATTGAACATGTACTTGACCTGTTTTCAATTTTAGCGGCTGTGTTATTTTTAAAACTGAAAGAGAAAATTTTACTCATCATTCTGAAATGAATTATAAATAACTTCAAAATACATCAGTTCATACATAGGTGTAGTGAAACGGAAGAGAGCATTGAAATTGAGGATTAAAACTGTTGGTAGATAACTGTTTATGTATGAACACTGATTTCTTGAGAATATATATATAATTTAGTGGTGAATAACATTTATACGCAAAAAACGTTGTGAAGTGTCATAAACGACCTTGTGGGAAGTACTTCTATGATCTTTTGCTGAGGATGTGCTTCATTGCCAGACTGGCGGTTTGCAACCTTGTCAACAGTGTTAACATTTGTAGAATATAGAGCCAGTTTATTAACCTGCTTATTCTGCATTTTAATGTGGTTTTCCTCTTGCAGTGGCCTTTATTTTCTGGTCACAAAATACTGCCAGCTGAACTTTTCATCCGTATATTTCTTTTATGACAGGATTTTTTCTAACAGCCACTACAAACTGTATGTAAAAAATTTTGTCTAGCCAACCGGAGTACCCTTCATCTTGCAGGGAAATTGTTCTTGGTGTGTTTCTGTAGCTAATCTTAGAGAACAGTATGTAAAACTGAAAAAAATTCTGGTTAGTACACTGACTTGTGCACATACTGAGATAATAAATGTCGGTGGATTAATTATATCCTCAATAATTAATTATTCAACATGATTTTGTAAGCCTGTTCATCCATCATAAAAAACAACACATTTTTATATTGCAGTTTTAATTATGAGTTTACCTGAATATTGACTACTAAAATATGATAATTAAACGCATAATACCCACCCGGTTTGACTGGCACTGTTATAGTTGAATGTGTAATTTGTGAGAAATCACTGACTTCTTCCCTCTGTAGGCCAAGTTCCATTTGTGTCATTCTGAACGCCTGCGGATTTTGTATTGTACACATATATTCCCCTGTAGAGGCAGGCGAATTTCTACCCTCCAACTGTGATATCCATAGTCCAGATAGAGGTGTTTCTTCAGGATTTTCGTGCACAATTTTAATATGTTCAACATGTTGGACTGTTGGCGTTATCTCTAACCATGGTGAACTAGGATTGGGTTTCTTATACCAGACAACAGATTGTTCCACACTGCCTAGGTTAGCACTGCACACAAGTATAAAAGTTTTGCCGGATTCTTCTGAACTTTCAGATGATTTCAACAAGCTCACAGCTAAAACAGGAAAAGTACACAGGAGAAATCGCATTTTAGGTAGCAAAGAGAAAATGTATCTCAATTCATATGCTACCGGTATAAGTGAATGGACAATCACGACTTTCACTACATGTTTTACTGGACTTTTTTATGCTATTTACGATACCAAGAAGGTTACGAAATCTAGCGTAAATATTTTAGATTTTCAAGACGAACTGTCGTGAAATTTCACATCGAATTATGTTCGTCATCAGTGAATAAGTTCATTCTTATATTACCAGTCCATCCACGCAGCTATCCAGGACTAAATTAATTTTCAACTGTTTCTGTTGTTTTCTATCAAATTCAGTCTGGATTAATGACTGATGAGTTCATTCTCCAATGAAAGAAAATTTTGTTAAATGGTGTATTTAACTACTCATACCATTTAGCAACATTTATCTTGTTGAAAATATCAGTCTACACATAGTTACTCAGAAAAAAAATACTCAAAAGAGGAACTAAACTTAGGTACAGAATGGTTCTGTTCACTTTTTAAGGCAATTTAAAATCATGTTGGTCAGAGTCATCGGTTGACAAGTCCTAACATGTTGAGCACCTGAGTGCCTTTAAAGGATATTCCAGCAAATACACCACCTAATGAGATCACATATCTTATTGGAATTAGCATATCCATAGGGAACCACACTATCTCACAAACCGAATATACAAACTTTCATCGGTTAGTATTGTATTTAAGTAGCTCCTATCCCAGTTACATGAAAAAAATGAGTTGGCGTTAAGTGTCTGGTACAGTTACTACTGTAGACTTTATAATCCCCACGTCCAGAACCATCATCTGTGTGTTGACCTTAGAATTTCACGTGTCTCATATCTTCATCCACGGGTAAGTTTAATGTTATTATTTCTTATCATCATTCTTTTCAAAGTCTAAATTCTACAGAAATGAAATGGTGAGGCTTTTCCCGTTTCTGTCATCATCAGAATAAAAGTCCATCTGAACGAAGAATATTCTTTGCAATAATTTCTCTTCAGGTTCTTACAATTATAAAATATAATATTTGTTGTCGTTACAATAATGGCCAGTTATGCGGCGGATACATTTTAAAGTAGAATAACAGATTAATTATGGCGTGTCAAAATAAATAGTCGTGTTTGTGTGACAAACGTGCTAGGCTGAAATCGATTACAAAATATTGCGAAATGGGAGACAATAGTGGTGATTAGTTATAATAGATTTGTAGAGTGTGGGGTAGGAAAATTGACAAGTAAGTCAGTTCAAGGTTATAAAAGGTGTCAGGTGAGTGGCTAGTACAAAGTGGTCTGAGTTAAACAGGAGATAGTAAGACTGCAATGAGGTTCATAATGAGATAACGAATATGTTAAATGAAACAGGTGGAGGCATATATTGAGAAAAGAGATAATATCACTAATAAGTTCGCATAGTTAATTGTACTAACCACTCACCTGACACCTTTTATAACCTTGAACTGACTTGTCAATTTTCCTACACCACACTCTACAAATCTATTATGACTAATCACCACCACAAGAAGCCCACATGTCAACCTGAGACCGAACACTTCGGTCCAATCAATCGACGGGAAAATCAAAAATTCAATTCAATAACCATTGTCTCCCATTTCACAATATTTTGTCCAGAATGTTTGTAATAATGATTATTATGATGGAACCTCTCAATGAGAATTTAATTCACCTGTCATACAAATGAGTGTTGTGCTACAGCCCACAATCTAGGTAGCGACGACATTCTGTCTTAATGAGAAGTAGGATATATTAAAAAGAGTTGTGGATTGACTGTGTCTACTTAATGATAACTATTATTAATACGGGTTAACAAATTATTGTTACTGTTATTTATTGTTTCCTTTAGTTCCTAGAGGAATATAGGACTTCAGCTGTACGTCTCAATTTCGTTCGGTTCTCTGCCAACGTTTTCACCTGGCTCCACGTCTGCCCACATGCTTTCATCCCCTCTTCATATCACTTCATCCATGTCACCCTCACACTGTTGACTAACTCGCCGCATCTCATTTGGCCTCCACTCGAGCGATGGTCTGACGTGTAATGTCATTTGGTGGTTGATAGGATCCCACACACTTTGTTATTGACTGTTTATATCGCATAAATGGTATATTATCATTTCTCACGCACTTTGTTATTGACTATTACGATCAATTATTTCAAATGCTGTTGGCTGTCTATATTGTTGTAAAAATGTATAAATACCATAACTTTCTTTGTCGTAGTTGTTGTACAACAATACACAGTCACAGTCCAGCCTTTGTCTTTTGATATTTGCGTGCTTCACTGAATCGGAAGGTACCACAAGCAGATAGGCATATTAGTCAGGCGCAGACAGAACAAGGCGACAACGTCCTCATTTAATTCCCTACCGTTAAAACAGTGGTTTGGCCAATCCACCTCCATTTCTTCCTACGTATTTGTTGCACAATTGGTTCCTGGTTGGTTCATCCATTGCCAGAGATCCCTTCCTGTTGCTGATCTTTTCTGGCCACCTGATCTTGAGTAGTAGTGAGGGAAGACAGCGACTGATGAAGGCCTGTGGTCTGTCCGAAGTGCCCTTCGTAACGCGGCGCCAAGTCTCTGATCCGCATAGTAAGTAGCACTGACTTCACGTTGGAGTTGAAAATCCAGATCTTATTTTCATGTTCATGCTGAGTGCTGTTGACCCGCACACATACTTGAGAGAAATGAAAACTTGCCTTGCTTACCCGATCTTCGCTTTGATATCCTCCTGAGTTCCACCTGTAGTTGAAACGATGCTTCCCATGTCTGTAGGTGAGGGAGGTAGCTTCTTTCAAATTTCTCCCATTTATGCTGGTTGATTGTCGTCTGTCGCTGTTGCTTTTGGCCAGGAATCTTCATCTCCTCTGTCTTCTCTATGTTCACCTGAAGTCCTATCTTTGATACTTTTTCTGTCAACTTGTTGCTTTTCACTTGCATATCTTTTAGTTGAGAAATCAGACAAATATCATCGGCGGTTAACAACATAACCAAAAGTATGTACCTTATTCTTCTTTATAATAATAAGTAGTGTAAATTCAACACAGTTGACGATGAAAATCGTCTGTGCAAAACTGTAAACAATTCAGTTATGGTGAGAACTAAGTTGACGAATGTCATTTTGTGAAGTTTAAAGACTTGGAGACCCAGACTTCACATGACTTCGATTATTTAACGAGAATTCTTATCAAACATATACAAATGAAAACACATTGAAAAGTATACCTTCTTTCATTTGTACATTGAAGGTCTGTTTATTATTTGAAGGTGAATGTAGGCAGACATACTTTCCAGCCTTAGTTAAATCAACTTTAGGCAGAACAAGCTGAGCTGACAGTCTTGCACCGTCTGTTTTGTCTGCATTGTCATCAGTATCATCATCTTTCTTAACAGAATATGGTTCATAATTTGATTCATCTGATTTCATTTCGCTAACTGATTCCACTTTTCCTCCAGATGGAAGAATCCAGTCCAATTGTCCAGGACTAGCAGTGCGACATGTGACAACAATCTTTTCACCTAAGTCAGCAACCTTAGAAGACATATCAAGCTCCAAATCTAGAAAGGTAAAAAAATTTTTGAAAAAGAGTGATAATTAAGAGTATTACTTAATAACATAAGCGCTTTAACATAGAAAAAATTAGCAAAATACCACTAAAATACGATGGGTATATGTACTTCATAAAATGGATTTAAGAGTTAATGTTCACATCTATTGAAAGACAATCGTCTATTGTAAACTGCAATGCTTGAAATTATGAAAAGATTGCATTTAGAATCTCACCTACTCAAATGAAGGTTTATCCAAGTGACGAAACCGACACTGATCCAAAACGCACATTACTTAAGTGTAAATAAACAACACATTGCTCTCAACTGAGTATTAACCATCGTACAAAAAGGTGTTTATTTTAACAGAGGCCTGTCGTCTCAGTTGAATAAAAATACATAGCTGAAGATTGGGACTTTGAGGTAACATGTTTTCGTGTATGCTTTTGTGAGTCAAACAGTTTCATTTAACTTGATAGTGTAATTTGTAGATAAACAAAAAAGGATAGTTATATCAAAATATTCCAAAAATTTCCGATAAGTGAAACGTACATCCAGATGACGAGTTATAAACAGGACGAAATGTGCATCTGGAATTCCACTGCTAGTCACCATCAACCAAAATACTACCACTAAGTTACAGTACATAAATCAGGATTTCGCTAATTCTAGTTTATTATTATTATTTTGATAAATCTATGAGTTTTGATTAATGAAACATCAGTAAAACTAATGCTGTTTTGTATTCTATTCATCGGGAAATACAAAAATGTCATAATCACAAATATCATATACCCAATGCCCAAATGTTTACTTTTAAAAATGAACTTTACATATTTATATATGGTTACAAAATGTCTACAGTGATACAATTTGAATCATCGTAAACCAGTCAAGTCAACTTAATACAAGTAGGGTATACCCACGAAGAAAGCAAAATGTGATTTCGATCTGAGGTCCATTCATTTAATTTAGTTGATTATTGTATAACTGCAGGACAAAATGAAATAACTTTGCAGATTTCCTTAGTGAAACAAACCTGAACGACCTAATAACAGAGCATCATTCCAAACTATGATGCAATGAATTTAAGTTGAAGGAATATGCACGAGTCTTAGCTTTGTAGCTAACCATTTGTAAATTAAACAGCGTTCCTATTAGACATCATCTAACTAAGAGTACAAATTAGAGTCGTCAATACACTGAAGCTTACACTTGGATAAACAAAGATGAACACTTTGTTGAATAGAAATCTTTTAAAAATCAAATCAACATAATACGATGTCTTATTCTGTTTCATTCTATTCAACGTTCAAATCTCATTCATTGTAGAAAAAATTTCAGTTCATATGTTTATGTATTCAACATGGTGAGAATGATTAGGCTTCTGACATGTTGATGAAGAAAACAATTTATTTGCATACGCATTTCTGAAATGTGAAACGTCTACTTTTCACCAAACAGACCACTTAAACTAGCAAAGTCTGAGAAGTCATGTGGATTGTAAGCAGATCTGTGATATAAAGCAAAACATAATAAGTTAACCAACGAGAGCTGGCTTCACAATCAACTTACCACTGACGGTCACAGTTACATTGTGTAATTCGACTTTCTTTTGCATTAGCTCAGATATTGAAGGTCTTATGAAACAAGTGTAGACACCTGCATGATTTTTATTCACCGAATCGAATATCAGAGATTCCATTGCATACCATAATGGTGCCGACTTTGCCTCCTGTGTTTTCAATGATCGACTGCCTTCAGGCAAACGGCTACCGTCAATCGTCTTCCATTCTAAAGTTTTCTGAGATGCACCACTTGGTCCCACAGATCCTGTACAGTTAATGACTACACGTTCCCCAGGTGATACAAAAATCTCCTCAGTTTGAACATGAACCTCTGATGTACGAGAGGAAAAAAAGTAAAAAGGTGTGAACAGGTGATTTGACAATTCTGCAGACACATTTTATGTGCTAATTGTTGAGCGTTAGTGAAATTTAGCTTATAAACTCTATCTTAAACAGTTAAGTGTAATAATTATCGTGAAACTGGATTATGCCGACGGAAAGCCCTTATCACCATTTGTTTTAATACAGTGACCATAATATTTTTTCTGCTGTACTATGCCAACTTTCTTTTTGAAAGATTTTTCTCTTCATCTTGGAATATGGCTACTTTTCACTTCTCTTCGGATTTTATGCATATAGACAATAGAACAGTAATGATGAAGAAGAACTAGTAACCTGTGGTTGTGGCGATTTGGAATTCATGTTTTGCTTGTTGAACACTGACCGCAATCAACCGATATTGACTGACCTATAGATAGCGCTGGTTGACAGCGTGGCAGAACTATGGCTGCTCTTGGGAAACTTTGTTACTCTCACAACCTCAGAGTCAACTGTTATCATATATACTAGTTATCTAATGGACAGTCATCAAGATTTACACTCATGGGCCATTTCTGTAATTCATTCTTATTCGCGGGCTAATCATTTCATCTCTAGCTTTTTTCATCAATATTAGTCACTGATAAAGTTGACGAATGAAGTACCTGACAATAAAATTGCCTAAAAATATAATATATAATATTGTTGTACGGTTGGTGCAGTAGTAAGAATCATTTATTTCAACTAAAGTGACAACTTCCAGATTTCTAATTTAATCTATATGGGATTTATGTTCACCAGCTGATAAGATGTAATCCGAAATACATTCCTTCACAGTGAAACTGAGCAATCGCCCTTGACCTCAAGCATCAAACTACTAGTTGAGAACATAACGTGGCACCGATGAAATTGAACCGAAAGAGAAATGCATCGAAATTGTTACACTAAATGTAAAAATTAGGTATCATGCATTTGTGCGCTCATTTTGATATGACTGCTGATGTCTGTTGTCAAAACTGGAAATGTGACAGTTGCACTGATCATGTTCCTCAAGCATGTTACTCAACAAATGAATCGAAAAGCCACTGCAAATATCTTTTTTAATCTTTCATTATAACACTTATTATAAATATAGTTTGATAAAAACACAGTCAAATGTCAGTTCGATATCAGTTTCTGGTCGGTGGTGAGTTAACTAATTCTATATAAATGTGCTCAGTTGATGACAGACGTAATGAAGTAAAACAACAGGTAGAAAATCTTGACACTTTGTTCTAGTGTCCTTGCATCACCAGAATTCAAATTCGGTGAATGTCACAGCTGTGATGAACGAACTATAGGCAGATGTTGAAAAGTTTTACCGCTGACTTAGAGGACAAAGAATGCATTCATTGTTTACAGTTATCACACTATTGACACGCTCAGTTTGTAGATACGTCTCCAGTAATTTTACATTTAATACTATTATTACAAAAAAATTACTGTTTTCAACATACCATCTTCTGTCCATAGACGAACTGGTTCAGAAATTGCATCTTTGAAGTTGTCTGATGAATAGGTAACTTCCGCCTTTCAAAAGTTATGCACAAAAACAACACGATAGGATAATAATAATAATATGAAGTTCCAAAGCTTCAGATAAAACATAAATAAGTGGAATAATGTAATCAAATAATAATAATAATAATGATTGCTTTATTCCAAAAAAAACAGTACTCATGATACAGCAAGGAATTTTCAGCATTCAGTACAATATTGCATCTAATTTACCCAAAAACGACAAAAAAAATACACAATACATAATAGTAATAAAACGATTGTTGTAGCAGCTACGTAGCAAAATACTGTGTGCCATACGGAGAAAAATATGTATAAAGTACAAAATTGTAGTAATAATAGTAATGCCAACTAATATAAAATAGCAGAGTAACGATTTAAACGATAGAAAGTGTGACACCATAAAATACAGAAAGATGAACGATAAAAGGGTCGATTCACTGTGCTAATTACATAGTAACTTGTAAGTTTCACGTCTAACAGAGTCTTCGTCACATAAAGTACGCGCTAAATAGGGTATTGTAGAATTTCTATACTTAGTAGTACGAGCATATATCTTTTTATATTGACTTCTCGTCCTACCTGATGAGATACAAGGGGACAGGTGTGAGTAAAGGGGGTGCAGAGGGTCTGACATTTGATTTATTTTATTTTGATTTATTTTTGATTTACAGCTTGATTCCACACTGTATTTTTGGTACAAGTATGGAATTTTCAGCATGGATATCGGTAGCCCAAATTTTGCAGGCCGACCATAGATATCAGGTGTGCGTCGGCGTGGACTCGAACCCCGGACCATGTGCATGGTCGGCGAGAGTCCTAACCACTGTGCCACCGACGCATTATAGCCTTTGCCCATTCCGTACAGGAATTTATATGCCTCTCGACTATAGTATTAGCGAGCTCATGCAGTGGCAGACCACAAGCTCTACTCACAGCATTTAATACTCTTCGTAATATGATATAATCTTTTTTGAGCAGCCCAGGAAAGATTAATGGAGAGCAGTAGAGTACAATAGGTAAAATACAGGAGTTAAAAAATTGCAAAACTAAAGGTTGGTTGATACCTGATTGTCTTAACTTTTTAATGTAGAAGGTAAGACGAAACATTTTCTTAGAGATAGATAAGATATGGGATGACCATGAAAGGTCAGAGGAAAGAACTAGTCCAAGGTATTTAATGCTTGATTTGGTTTCAATTTCCGTGCCATCTATGCTACAGGGATCATGAGAGTTAACTAGTTCAAGTAAGTCACGTCGATGCTTGAAAGTAAAGTCAAGCGCCTGACATTTGGAAGGATTTAATATAAGACCATTTGACTTGGACCAGTTGTTGATGTCCAACAGAAAGCTATTAAGTTTGGAGCTGTCAGACTCGGAAGTGATAGGCAGTGATACAGTCAGATCATCTGCATATTTGACAAAGTTAGTTTCGTTTGAATGAGGTAGGTCATGTAGGAAGAAAGAAAAAAGAAAAGGAGAGAGTACAGCACCTTGTGGAACACCGGATTTTGTAAGCGAGGTAGAAGAAGATTTGCCGTTATATACAGTATACTGCATTCTATCAGAAAAATAGGAATGCAACCAACTCTTAGCCCAGGATCCTGTTTGTGTCAAATATGTAAAATAACTCACTTGAAACAGTTAGTTATTTGCACAAAATTTAGAATAAAAACGAATACTGCACAGTCCATATCTCTTCGAAAACACCAAAAATGGATATATGATGATGCCTTTCAACTTGCAGACGGGTGTTTCAAAGAGTACCAGTGGCGATTATGGTTAACATCTGTTGCATATGTAGGTTTCTGAATACTTACTTACAGTTCTCATGTAAAATGGTTCATTCATAAGAAAGCCAAATAATTTTGTACATCTTGAATAGTTGCCAGCTTCCTTCTAACTTATTGTAATTTTTGTTCATCCTAACATTGTTGTGTTTGTAAACATGAACTTTCTGAGTATTGCCTAAGTGGAACTAAATAAATGCGCAAGTCACTGGTTGCATTAATTTTACTCCTGACAGATCATGAGAATAAGGGATCCTACTGAAGACTACCTGGTCATTAATGTTTACTATTTGGAATGAAACAAAGTGCTGGAAGCATGCAGTTTGTTTGCCCTTAAAAATTCTACTCCTCAAAGTTTCACATTTTATGACTGTTATAATATTGGAACTAATGAAATTCTCTGCTTGAAGGTATTTCTGATTGATAAAAATACTGTAGATGTTAATTCATAGGAAAGGTAGTCCACAAGAAGTAGGAAGGTACAAGATTAGGCAGAAACGAAACGCATTCATATAACTTTAGGAAAAGCACAAAACAATAAAAGTATCAGTAAGTCACAAATGATTTCTAATTTCATCATTTTATAAGCTTTATGTGATAAAAGATGCGGTAGTACAGTACTACTTACTGATGAAGCATTAGTTAAAATATTGACCATAACATAAGTAGGAATAAGTTCAAGACGTGTGAAGTTTTACCATATAAGGAAAAGTCCTTAAAAAGGTAGGAATTAGGGTTGCCTTTAAACCTACACACTCACCCACGGACGAGTTTTGTAAACTATACGAGTCTACTGACCCAATAAGACAAGACAATTTCACCTCCCACATACCTTGCAATGACTGTGAAGTCAACTACGTAGGATGCACCAGTATGTGGGGGGAAATCAGGTTTTAAGAATAAAGGAATTTAACTAAGTGTAGAATGGTTGACTCCATGAAGACAAAAAGTTTTTTAAAACTCAGCAATTGCAATAAATGTATTAACACACAACCACAAAATAGAGTGGGACTGAGCTACAGTTCTAAAAGGAAATATATAAGTAGGCTGATGGGGAGGTTGATCACTATGTCTTTTTTCATCGAACCTACACCTAACACGTACAACAAGAATGATGCAATGCCGAGATATGGAAAAAATTACTACCAATAAAATTGGAGGATACGAAATAATTAAACTAAATAAACAGAGTTTGAAAGTTATGTAAGGGCTAGAGGAATATAGAGCTTCAGCGGCACTTCTTCATTGCGTTTGGTTCTCCGCCAACGTTTTCACCTGGCTCCACATCTGCCCACATGCTTTCATCTCTCCTACACATGACCTCCTCCATGTCACCCCCACACTGACTACCAACTCGCCTTTTCCCATTCGAATTCCACTCGAGAGGAATTACTGTCTGCATTGCTGTTTTTTTATCCGAACTTCCTGCCTATTTTGTTATTACTACACTTTTAGTCCTCTATTACACAAACCGTGAAGTTTCTCAGCGATTATGATTTTACTCTATTTTTCATCCGATCTTTCTGTGTATAACACTTTGTTATTTTATCTGTTTGACCGTTGGCTGAAACATACTCACCCATTTCCTGTAAATACACGAACGTACAACCTAGTTGGTGACTTCGTCGAAAAGGAAATTTTCTTCACTGAAACCATCGCCGCATGTAGCAGGCGAGGAGACAAAATATATATGTCGTCTAATCTTTCAATCTGCCTAAGGGTATCTCAATGGATATTTATGTGGTTATATCATTTGAAGGCACTGCTACTACACAACTGAGCATTTGTATTCAAAACTTTTGTATAACTAATCATTTTACTAGCAGAATAATAAGTAGTCAGTTACACGGGGAACAAACTTTCGACTCGTGCTAAAAGTGTAATACAATCATAGAAAATGCATGTGAAAAAGTTTCAGTGATTTATAATGACTGAACAACTTTAGTCACATACCTATTTAATTTAAGTCCTTATAGTTAGTGGAGGGAAAAAGAGATAATAATTATAGTAAATTAAGAAATCCAATAAATTTAGACGGAAACAATTTCAAGAAATCGATTTGAATAATATTTTGTATGACATTTGCCTGAATAACACATTGCATTAGGAGAGCATTTACTTAGGCGAACCAAAAACACAGACAAATGTCGATATCAGGAAAAAAGATATATTGAATTATTAGGATAAGGATATAAACACTTTTCTATCGATTAAGCTGAAAGTGAACTGTAATTCATATTAGGGAAAAAATAAATATTAGGCTACAGACAGGTGGTTGTTTGTACTATAGAGTTAAAAAAAACACAGTGGCGAAAGATACTATTCTACAGTTTGTGTTATCTCTGAGAAGTTTGGTCTGTTTTGAACTACAATTAACAATTCTCTTCTGTGAAGTGAAGGTACATGTTCAACCAGATTATAAACTAAAGAAAATATTGTAAAAAGGTGGAAAATGCCACAGTATCCCAGAAGGTTTGTAGAAATATTCTGAATCTTGCATGTAAACATTTTTTGTTCGAATGAGTGTTTTATTGGCAATATATTGAGACAGTAATAATCACTGAGTGGTGTTGCGACCACAATTTGTTGCTCGTAATCATACACACCAATGTATTCTCAGGACTTCACAAGCTGCTCTACATACCTCTACACCCCCTACTGCTTTTCATCGCAATTTTCTACATATCCGGGATAGATGTTGCATCATTTGGATTACACATGTTTGGCATTGATTCGATAAACAAAGATTCAGTGGTTAACTTCTCTCCAACAAAATATACTACTTCATACCAGTTTTACCCTATCTTATCCTATTGTGTGATTTTATGCAAATGAATGCACTGCAATGATCGACCTTATTTTGTAGATTAGGCTTCTGACTCAATTACATATGCATCTGACTAGACCTATCTTTACTGATTTCCGGTGAGATACTTCAAAGTCCAAGTCTCCATTAAACTGTGACGGTTTTGTATAGATGCCAGTATCTAACCAACTATCCTATTTCGTTTTATATTGTAGTCTAGGATAACTAAATCACCGTGTTCATTTATTAATTCGAAAGCCAACCGGATTCATTCTACTACTAAGTTTATGATATGGAATTACTAAATGATGATTACTAACCAGTCCAGTAATTGATGCAGAGGAATTTAGAGTTCTCAATGACACAGGAGATAATCAACAGCCTAGGTCATATGGCTTAAAATAAAGTGTCATAACACCTTGTTTTATTATTCACGATTGAACATTTTATACTCAACTACCTGTTAATATGTTTCACTCTCTTATTTCGCCATTTCTTTCTACTTAATTACCACTTAGTGTATTTCTCATCCTACAGCTGTTGTAGATATCGTTAATTAGTGGCTTATTAAAATCTGGATTGTTTGAAAAGAAACTACACAGAACGAAGCTTGCTGAATATCGACCGGATGGTATATATTATTGGTTGACATGAGTGGTCGGTAACAACTCATATAACCCGGTATTGCCTGCCAGCGAGTTTGAAGCGACCTAAAAAAGGGAAGACCACTTCACTCGTTTCTACTCGACTTCAGCTGTGTACCGAGTTTAACTCAGCTTAGAGAGTAGAATTCTGGTTAGCTACTTGGGCAAACCAGTAACATATAAATTCATATTCGAAATTCTCAATTTACACAATTAGAGGTGAAAATTCCTTCGAAAATTCAAGTTATTCAGATTTCAAGATTTAAGCTAAAAAATGCCATGCCTTTAGTTAGAATTCTTGTATTTATTTACCTCATATTACGATTTTGAAAACGTTATTTTTTTAAGTAAAAAGGGCCTAATTCAAGAAACAACACTAAAGTAATTAGATATCGTAACGTCAATAACAGTTACCTACTTCAAAAGTAATGAAACAAACCAAACCAACTTAACTCATTGTAACTCAGCATGGATGTTTCGTATCTCATACCTAAGCTACTGATAAAATGAGGTGTCACCTTTGGTTTTGAAGTTTAAATCTGATAAAGTTATAGATGGAAGTTAGCTTTTTGACCCTCTCTGCTTTTCTTAACCATACGCCCACTTTTTGTGAAACAACTCTACCATTTAAAATTTTTGTCCATGAGAGAGCATCAGACACTTCGCTACCAGGTATTGAATGGTCCCATGAATCATGTAAGGTTTTGATAAAATCTAGACCGACAGTAGTGATGTGTAGTGGTGCATGTTGTTTTCTTCATACAGTTTTCTAATCTCAGTCTACGGTTGGTTACCAACAGAAAAACCATTGTCTTTACTCCTACTTAGAGATAGAGAAACTTATCATGTATGAGAATAACTTGATCAAATGATGTGGTGTACATATTGCTATGCTTTTAAGCTCTACGTAAAGCTGCTCACTCACCTGTAATTCATATCGCCTTCCAGGTAGAAGATTTTCAATTTTATACGACTTTACAGAGTTATGCATATCCATAGTGTCCGGAGATTTTGTTGTGATTGGTACATAATTCACTTGTGATATATAATCTGGGTATTCAGCTTCCTCACCAATCACTCTCAATGTGAACTGTGTTTTGAACGTCTCCATATTCAAACAACTGGCTGTTTGACTTGGTTTGACTTGAACTTGTATTGAATGATAACGACCGGATGCTGGAGCTTTAAGTTCAGTTTGACCTGGGCCATGGTAAAAGACATGATTAAAAGAATAAATGAATCATTTCATTGGACCTATAAATTTTGCTAGAATACATTAATAGTTGCATACAACATGTTTGTGGGTTGAGAACATTAAGCCTTCATATTAGATAAGTTTATTTAATATAACACAGTGTTACAGCAATAACTGTTATTAGCAATGTATCACTGTGTGTCATATCAATTGAACTTTTCTAATATAGAATTATACTCTACCATAGTGCCTAAATTCTACTCTTACAGTAGTAACATTAGGCTTTGTATGCTTTGCGGTTAACAGAGTGTAAGAAACTGTGATACAGTGATTTGACCGTAATGGAATAACTAAGATCAGTTAAGCAACTGCTCATATATACACTGAAATTAAATGAGTTGTTTTCCTATAAAAACGATTCTAGCTGCATTCATTAGGAAACCACGGACTTGGATGACACAAAATCTTCATACAAATAGGGATCGGCTGAATGGATCAATCACAAACCAAAATGACCACTGAGCTAAAGGCAGGAAAAGTTGAGAAATTCTACTCTGTTGTTAATATATATATATATATATATTCGGAGATGAAGTCGAGGCTTTTGTGTAATCTAAAGGGGCATGTTACAAGAGATTGAAACAGAACGTTTACTGATGAAGGATTCATACCACCGCTTTTCAAACTACCAGTTCGCTGCTATTCTTACTAATGTATACAGCACAGCTATGTCACTATAATCCATCTGACAATGAGTAATTTGATCACATTTAGCCTTTGTGAATACTAAAACCCCACGGAAATTGAGAATCGTAAATCAAACCAGTAATGTTTATCAGTGAACTCTCCAATCATTCCCACTATGAACGCAAATATCAGCACATGTGGGTCAACAACAAAAAACACAAGAAAAGATTTCATTTTAGTCTCGTGACAGTTTCATCCAGATTGTCATAAACAGTTAGGGAAATGGCTGAACGAAAAATCATAGTTTCAAAACACTCTGAACCAGGAAATATATAAGTAGGACGAGAAATAAAACCGGAGAATAACGTTTTTCATGTTTAACTCACCCCTTCGACCCATCGAAAATTCAAGTGAGGATGCCATACCATGTGAAGTCAATTTCTCGTCAAATCCTTTGAATATTGGTGTCACAGTTACAGTGTATTCAACAGCTATACCAAGTCTTGTTATTGTAGAATCAGGAATATCTTTCAACATCATTTCATAAACTGTTCCATTTTCTGAATGCAGAAACGAAAGCGAATTGTGTGTACAAAATATAAACGCACTAATACTAATAATAAATGGAGAACAATATGTAAAACGATAAATTAGAATGTCCAAAAAGTTGAAAGAAATGTTGTTGCACATAACAATATGTGGCCATCTCAGTAGCTCGAATAAATTCTTATCTGTGTATTACTTGTTCTCTTATTTAGATTGCTAGAAGAATTCAAGTCCTTTGATCTGATTCCATTCTCTGAGCTGTCAGCTCAAGTACACAATAGTGAGGTCGGTCACTGAAGACAAAAAACAGCAGACAGGTGTTAATGTCACCTCTATTTGGTGTGAATGCTTTCCAACTGCTCATAACAACCATCCGTGTATCCCATCTTGCTATTTCGAAGTTCTCTTTTCGGACACAAAGAACAGGAGTCCAGGCCGAGTGTATGTGTATACTCGGAAAAAACTTAGACATAGTGGCTTCAGTTAAGGCTGTATTTAATCCACAAAAATATGTCAACAAATAATGGCTATGTCTTACTGTTTATTGTCCTCGAACACTGTTTACATTTTGCACAGTTATATCAGATTTCAAAACACCGTATATTCGAATACAGAAAGCCTTCTCATAAGTTTACTATTTGTGTTGTCATTATTTTTCGAAGGAATAAATGATAATGAAGAGGCTGATGAATACTTATCATGTATACAAACTGTTATACCCAGTGTCTATTCATAAGTACTATCATACATTTCTGGACAATAAGAAACAAGTGAAGCAGAACGTTAGTTGTTCTTTGGATTTTATCATAATTATTATTATCAGTATTATTCAATCGTTTGTAGTAGCATAATTTATAATCAAGCCAAAAAAATGTGAACAATAGAAAAAGCAAACAGACATTTTGTATTTTTATTAACAGTGTACAAGAAAAGCGAGGCGAACTTAACAGAAGTGGGACAAAAAAAGCAGCCTCAATAAAATATCTCACTTAATTAACATATTAGAAAACTATGTGTTTACTTATAAGCGAATATTTAATCGATGCTGACAATGAATATTATGTGCATAGTTAAACAATACTAATTCTTAAGATTCTTGATAAGTTTTAATCAATTTATACTTAACATTTGTTTCTTATTGGTAAATAAAAATATAGGTGCAGTACAAACAGATATCTCGAATCTCCGTGTTTTACACTAAAGCAGTTAATGAAGGAAATTTCTATTAAAAGGTGATAACTCCTCAACTATTGATTTTCATGTTCACCCTATTAACTCTAAGTGAGATTCCTAATGTACACTAAGTGAGAATACAAAATGTAACACATCAAATCTCACCAGAATAGAGTAAGATATCTTTAAATTAAGGATACTGGTAATTATTTTCCTCCATGCAATCAATCCCTACAAAACCAATACTTGAAAAGTATTTTCACTCAAACTGTGCTCGTCAATCGATTGGGCAAACACTGCGATCGCTAGCTGCAATGGAACAGCTGCCCACTACAGAAGTAAACAGTGTATGACATTCAGCTATGAAAAAGACTCAGGCATGCGACAACAGTTTGACTCTCAACCAGGATTGACTGTGAAATTCAAAAAACATACGGAACCCTTGTGAAGCGTAGGTTTACTAGCTTCACCCTCAACTGTTTTTTCTCTTCCAGACATACTACCAGCTGGTAAACTAGACGTAATCCGCACTGCTCTGTGGTTGGCGAGCATTCCAACATTGAACCACATTCGCACTGTGTAAACTAATAATTGTTCTTAATCACATGGTAAAGGCGTTATCGGAATTATGGTTGTTGTGTTATGAGTGAAACAAAAGACAGACTACAAAAGCAAAGATTATAGTTATTACACTTTTAATATATACCTTCAGCAAAGGGAAGGTTATAAGAAACAAAACAGCAAAATAAAATAGTTTCATCCAAAGACCTGAAATATACTCAGACAAAAAGAAAATATTGAACGAACAAAGAAATTTGATATAAGGAGTATGTTGTGGACAAAGATCAAGTGAAACTTGGCAAGTGCAATCATTTCTGAGTTTTATCATCGGGACAGTACAGTTATCCGAAACAATTACACTGATAATGTCAACTAAGCTACATATGGAAGATTTCATCATGGAGCTGAAATCCTCCATACAATCAAACAAAAAAAATCCCTACAAACCCAATAAGCTACATATATATTCATTTTCAGGTTTCAGATGTAGAATTCATAACTCCATCCACTGGTTTCCTTTGTTGGCTTTTGTACAGCTTATACATATTTCAGTCAACATAACAAGGCAAATGATATTCAGGTAAGCGTTGAACATGCCACCGCTGCTTCAGTCACTGTAGGCTTATAAACCTATCCAACCTATGCTGAAGGAGTAAACAGTTACATTATCAATCATTTTTCGTCCTATTGTAACAACAGAAGACGAGGGCCAGGCAACAGATCCTTTTATTATGAAAATCAACACGTATTTATACATATTTCAACTACATTATTATAGACAAGCGCAGTCATCTGATTGGTTGTTTTTAGGTAGACAAACGCAGGCTTCTGATTGGTTGTTTCGGGATTCCTTGACAAATAGAGTTCTCTATCTGCGAATCATATTTTGCCACGTTAACTTTGCTGTGATTGGTTGTTGACTCAGCCTTGTTCATATCTTCTCACGGCCCACATTAGTGACCTAGACCTTAACGTAGATTAGTGCCAACCAATCGGCTAGCAGTCTGCTCTCACCACACTATGAGTTCGCTTTGCGAAATACAAAGATGGTAATACCAAAGTTTATAGTTTAGTTTCTATGATCAGGCAATTCAATAGCAGCCTTTTTCATTGAAACAGGATAAGAAACTTTATTTATGCAGACTATATACTGAGATGATAAAATGAATACAGATTAAAACAGAATTCCTGAATTTCCTTTAAGTGTATTAGAACGAATAAATTAAGGTATGTAACCCGGTTTTTAATCCATACAACTTTATAACCTCATTTGTTTCTTAAAGGCAAGACAAAAAACAGGGCGTTTAGCCGGACATCTGTTAATCATATTGTTCAGATCCTTCATCTGCTGGGTTGATTATTTATTCTAGGCAAACTTATTGAAGCAAAACCATCAACTTCTTTTTCTTCATTAGTCAACTTGGATTTGAATTACTAATCTTGTACTATTAAAATGTAAATGTTGGATATATAAAGAAGAATAATTTCCTTACAAATTTTTCCATTTTTCGCAATCAAACCAAAGCATATGCTTGTTAATTCTAATGAAGAAAACAAACTTGAGGACAGAACCATCTGAGTATTTTAAATTTCGAGACACTATCAAGGCATAGATTCGAGGTGGGATTACGCACTTAAGACTGTCTTTATACTGTCTATATAAGCCATAAACAAACGAATGCAACAAAATTTTCTTTTTTCACAATAAGGACATCTATAATTTGAGTTCTGTGATCCAATGAAGTCAACTTAACTGTGAATAGTAGTTAAAGTCGAAAAGAAATGTGTTTTGTTTCAAATTTGCAATCGACCCTTACAGTCTTATAAACAAAACCATAAGAAAAAAAATCTTAGTTTTCAAATAAGTAACGCTTTTCCCAGTCTACAAATGAAAATTCAGCGTAAAAGGGAGTTACATTGAGTGTAGAATAAAATTTACATGTGAACCATAAGATGTAACAAATGAACACTAAACCAAGATAAACAATCCCTGTGGTTAATGCAACCTATGAATGCCTTGTGATTTCCTGACAATTTTATACATGCTGTTTGCTTTTAAAAGTTTACAGTAATAAAAACAATTTACCTTCAATGTAAACACAAAAAAGTGAAGGTGTGAAGTGTACTTTTAAAGTCAGGAACATCATGCATGTTTACATTTAATGATTTATCCCATTCCCAGTATTACATAGATTTTACTGATAACTGAAAATAAAAATATTACGCTAACTGATCACTCAATGTGAAATAAAAAAAACAGGGCTTCATTGTGTCGCCACTTGAATATACGCATTACATGGGTCATAGATTACAGAAATATTGTCCATCCAGACTTATCTCTCTCCAAACGATCATCTTTATAAGTGTGTAAAAACACAAATCCGTTGAAAAGTATTCACTAGACTTATAATATTGTCCCTCAATTCATTTCAAGTTCAAAATACATGGTTGGTGTGATAGCTGAATGTGCATAAGATAAACAGTCATTTTTCTTAAGACTCTTACAGCTTTCACTAGCCTAGATGGATTAAGAGTCGGGATAGGGCAGTTGTACACCACGTTCACACTGTGTGTGTGATTTATTTCTCAACCGTGTTTCTTTCTTTGACAAAAAACAACAAACACTTTGTCATTGTGCAAACATGTTACTCCCAGCAATAGACGTAATATTTATTCTTATTGTGAATTGTATACAACGTCATAGAGAAGAATGAATCATGTATGACTTTTTTTAAGAACCTATACAGACAAATAAATGTTAGTGGTAGTGTAAATGTCAATTCACACAAACCAAAATCATTGAAATATGAACAGAAAATAGAAACTAGTTAATGGTGTAGAATTCGATCAACTTCAATCATGATAGCATAGAGAATCTGAATCCACTTCTTGCACAACCACATCAGCATTTTTACTAAAGAAACAAAAGTTTGAAGGAAACAGCTAAATGACTGTAGGACTGTAGAGCCACACATTATTCTTCACAAGCAAATGACTGTCAATGAAGCTTCTCTGTTTAAGAGCAAATAACCTTTGTAGGCATACTGAACGTCATAACTGTAATTAGCACTTGGGATAAATCAACTGATATGTTTTAAAACGCTTGATAGTGTCTTTATTGACTAATAAAGCTAACTTCAATATGACTTTTAGCGTGCTGAAACCAAAAATTGTATCACGCAAAACAACCATTCATATATACAAGGTTAGCAGTTGACTGATTCAGGCTTTAGATCTCATGATGATGGGAAGGGAAATATTTTTTGCCAACTTTAAGGTG